TCGTCCTAGCCTTCGACTTCCCCCCCTGGGCCACCCCCCCTGCCCACCTCCCGAACAAGAAGCCAGGAAAAAGAGGCGCGCCCAGGAAGGACCCCTCAAGACGAAGCGTGACTGAGACATAAAATGATCCTGTCAGCCGTAAAATTACCGCAGGCTCCGCTCAGCGCCGAGCCAACCGGACACGACAGGGACAAAAGGGAGAAATTACTCCCTCGCGGAGCAGGCCGCCGAGGAGGGACAATATTAGACTCTAACAAGAGCAGTCACCGTAGACGAACCCTCCCAGGCATGTTTGTAAGAGGAGGACCGGCAACAAGGGCAGAAAGTATAAGCGACGAGTTCCTAGTCCAGCAACGCGAACTCTCCCCCCGCCAGTTGAAGGATAGTCGCCGCCGGAATAGCGCAGATTGAGAGGGGAGGAGATGCACAGGGATGCACAAGCACCACAAGGATGTTTAGGGAGGTCCAGGAAGGGCATGGGTGGTGTCCAATCGCTTCCACACGCATTTTGTTGCGCAATGGCAAAAAACGTGCGGGATGCCGAGGAGATCCAGGGGCTCAGATTGGACAGGAAGATGGTCGACAAGCCCAGTCCAGCTAGCGACCCTACCCTCGGCGACAGCACCGCACAGGGCGGGAAATGGGGACTGGCGCAGCCTAGGCGCGCACTGAAGACCAGAAAAACTTGAAACTGACCCTCCACTCCAACGCCACAAAATAACCCTCACTGACCTCATAACGTGCGACTCATGACGATCAGCGTTTTTTGGCCTCGGGACCCTATCCATGCCTCCGACGAGTGGGAATGCGCAAACTCTGAAAAAACAATTTGTCTAAGAGGAAAAACAACGCGAGCACTAACTTGTGGAGGGGAGGGGGAATCGCAAGAGAGCCCGCAGGCGGCTTGCAGGACGTCGGGGCCTTGGCTGCAACCCTTGTGGCTAGTTACGTTATGTATATTCAGCAGCTGACAGAGATAACAGGCTGAGACTCAAACAGCAAAAGGAAAGACCATGCAGAAAGAGATCATCTTCCTACAGGAGTATCACATTCCACCAACATGCACAAGCCGACCTTTGTAAACGAGGGTGTGGGTTGCGATGGGCCCCCAATGTGGACTCTTTTCAGCACCCGGTTCGCAATGTCCGCCCCCTCCCACAATCGGTGATTGTTGGCCATTGGACCCTCCTGTTCAGCAATGTCAGAACCCATATGGGGGCCCATAAGACTCCTCCCATCCTACACATGGGGTCTTGAGGCAATAATTCGCTCATAGCGGGCTTGGAAAGACGCGAAAATCCATAATTATGAGTGACAGGAGCGAGTAACGAGTAGTGGTCGACCCATACACGGCGCACACATGACTCTGCGCTCTTTTCCCCAGTAAGATTTTGGATCTAAGTTACGAGTACGAGTACCCGAGTACATACCTGCGTGCGTGTGTTTGTTGTGCGTGGGTGCAAAAGCACTAAAAAAAATAGTAGGACAAATCCGAAGATGTAAGATACCTAGGTAAATACGAAGAAGATGGTGTGTGGGTCTCGAACAATAAGAAATCTGCACGCATACATAGAAATTTGTTCACGGGGTTGTTTGCTCATAGCCAGGCAGTGCCAGTGTGTTGGTGGCCTCCTTTTTCAATCAGCCTTTCGCATCGGATACGAGTACATGTTGCGTTGCTGCGACGCCAAACTCCAATCAGGAACGGTCGCGGTTCTTGTCGTGATAGGCGACACCAGATAGTCGCCTCTATCCTTCCCCCACAAAATGGAGATGTCTATGAGTAGACACAATGACGCTTGGTAGACTTCTGAAAACACCAACTGCACCGAAGCGACACTCAAGTCGAAATGTTCAACAGCTTATCAGTGTGTCGTAGCAATCTACCTGAATATCTACTAAATATCTTCCACGCTTGTGATTTCCAGCTTTTCATTGTCCTTTGGCGCAGTCAACTCAACTGTATCGCATGCTGCATCTGCCAGCCTGTCGAGAGCCCATCCAGCGCGATCTGTCAGTCCTTGGATGAAATAGCTAAGACAGTGCTGTCTGTCCGATAATAAAGGAGGCAGTCCCTTTTTCTCTCATTCTTTTGTTGTCATGCACATCTCCCTGTCCCTTCTGCCTCAAAAGACCTGGATATGTCCCTCCCTTTGTTCGTTGTGCTGTACTCGCCGAATAGTCAGGCTTGTGGGTACCAAGGGAAAAGTGTGTGACCGTGTGTCAACTGTTTCAGGGACATTCACAATCTGGACGGTGTCTCCTTCTCCCCTTCTTCGACCAGTGTGCGTAGTATGAAGACCAGCTTCGACCCAGTTATCAGACGTATGATTCCAACTCTTCTTTGTCGTAGACCCCAGGGCTTCTTTTCAGGCGTTCTGACGAATAATCGCTGGCTCGTGCATTGGACATCGTGCATCTTGATTCTCTCTGTTTAGCACCTCTGTAAAGAACCAGGAGGGTCTCGGCACGACACTTCGGTTACCTGCATCCGTCGTGATAGCATTCTTGTTGTGCATTTCGCCTCGCAGCGCAGGCCATATCGAGTAGTGCAAACAACCTGCTTTGTAAACACCGAGCGCGCCAGCACGTATGTCGGTCAAAAGTGCACCCGTTCCATGAGGCTGTGGAGCGAGATTATTGCGTGGCACGCACGCGTGGGTCGGCATCGGACAGAGCCTTTCGAGCTCTCCCCAGATTTCGACCATTGTCGGGCTGTATCGGACAACAGCCTTACGCTAAGTGGCAGGCAAGGCAGGTAAGCCGCACGAGGCTCGAGGCTCGCACCACCACAAAAACAACGCTAGTCCCTAATTCGGCACAAGCGTGAACTCGGCTTAACCAAAGCATCACTTGCCGTTCGGTCGCGGGTCTCTCTCACCATCTTTCATCTTTCGGAAGCACGGCATCATCTCTTTCTTGCTCCAACGCGTTGGACAAAACGATGGCAGGACCAACTGGTGGTCGCGACCAACCTTCCCATGATCCGACAGGCAATTTCACCGGGTCTGGCTCCTCGCATTTCGGTTCATCTTACTACCCTATCGACACTGAGCTGACCAGCATGTCACCCAACTACTCCATGCCTCCTTATGCGCGACCGATGGAAGAGGGAGTATCTTCAGTCGACAAGATCAACCATGAAGGCGTAAACAATGGCATACCTCTGGGTCCAAATGGCGCTGCAGCCTCCTCTGTGACCGATCCCGCGATGGCCCCTCCGCAGACACCACACCAGGCAACCTTTCCAGTTGGCGCACGGTCAAGCATGGATGCATCCTCTGAGACACCCCAAGACCCTCAAACGGGCGATAAGAGAAAGCGTTCAAAGGCTTCCCGTGCATGCGACGAATGTCGTAGAAAGAAGGTGCGATCACAATCCTCAGAGCAAAGACCCTGACAATCATTCTTTGGTGCTAACCTACCTCCCTTTCAGGTCAAATGTGATGCACCCACTGAGGCGGACGGCACCCCAAAGACATGCACAAACTGCCAGAAGGCTGGTGTGAACTGCGAATTCGAGCGCAAGCCCATGAAGCGAGGTCCTTCCAAAGGGTCAGTTGTTTCGTTGATGAAGCTTGTCTCGCGACGTCGCTGGCGATGGAAGACTAACACGTGACACAGATATATCAGCGCGCTGGCAGAACGAGTTCACGGACTGGAACAAAAACAAAGACAGTCACTGGATGCCGGTCCTGCAGGTTTCGTCGAGAGTTTTTCGCCTGATGAGCCAAGTGGTCCAGGTTTTAATCGTGCTTCTTCTTTCTCCGCTTCCCAAACCGTCAGCCCTTTCTCCAGGGCCGAATTTCAACGAGATCGCATTCCAAGCACTGGCGGTTGGGGTATCACCTCGATTGCTCCTAATCTTCGATCGCGTGCTATTGGAAGCCTCGCCATCGCTCCCAACGAGACTCTTCCTGCTGCGATTCCTGACGAAGAGTCCAACCCGAAGTCTGAATTCCAAAATTCCTCCAAAACACTTTCCAGTGACATCGACAACTCTCATCGCGCCAAACGTCCACGCATCCTCGGACCCAACGACGACTTGCCACCCATTAAGATGGAGCATCCGTTTTTGGCCAAGTACTACGAGCAATATCATCCGCTCTTTCCATTGCTTCCGGAAAATAACGTTATTGATGCGGTGGTCAGCGGCGCCGAAAATGAGGTGCAACACGCGCTTGCAGTCGCTGTCGACCTGTTGCCAGACCTCAGAGCCGGACTCACTGTCAATGGTACCCACGATTCCTCCTTGAATCACGACCTGGACCCAGCCATCAGCCGCCCGACTCCGACCCTTACCTCTACCTACTTTGCAAACTTCGACAAGTTGCTGGACTATCTCTGTGGTGGAACCTATGGTTCACCAGCAGATCATTCGGTGGAAACCAATCTCTCAACGGCGTGGGCTTGTGCCTTGGTCTCGGTCACCTGCGAGAATGATGTCAAACATCTGGGAGGTGATGAAGACAAGTCCAAGCTACGCCTGCTTAACCACAGTCGACTCATCTTGACGCACCTGCGCGATGTTTCCGCTCATGGTACGATCCCCAGCATTTTCTCCGCCCCGGTCGACTTCATCCATACAGTCAACCTGGCTATGAACTGCGTCCTTGTCCTGAGCAAGTTTCACTTCTTGAGCATCGCTCTTAATCCAGCCGAAGTGACTAACCTCCAAAACCTCTCGACCCGACACCTCAATTACCTGGGGCTTACCGTCGAAGCAACGTACATGCAAACCGGCGTAAACCAGCTTGACCTTCTCTCCGAGGTGGTCCTGCCTCGCAACAATGCTGGTGTAGAGTCGAGACTCAATCAGAAGATGTTTTTGCAGCATGCCTTCGAGGTCCACCTTCTCATGTTTGATGAAACTCTCCGAGACTCGGCGATTGTCAAGGAGTTCCACTGGTTCTTGGAGGTGATGCTCAGCCCGTATCAACCACAGACGCCTCCGTTCCCTTCCATTGTTCTCGAGCGTGCCGTCAATCTGGCCCAGGTCCTCATTGAAGACGCAAAGTCGACCTCTAATGCCCCCCGGTACAATCCTCTTGACCTACACACCTGGTCTGTGGCAGCGATCACTCTGTGCGAGGTCGTCACCGATGTGAGCAGTAGGCAAATGGCCGATTATGCACGCAACCACCTTCAGAATTTGCGCACGGAGCTCCAGAAGAAGTCGGATGCACTGCACAAGCACTATGACTTTGAGTGGTTCTATGGCGAAAAGATGAAACACTGGACTGACGGGCTCATTGCGATGATCGACTACGTTCTGGTACGTCCTTCTGCGGCCGACGAGAACAGAAGCAGCACTGTGATGTTGGTCCCGAACTTCGCAGAGATGATGGAGAGAGGGTGGTTGCGAGCTCTTCTTTTCTTTGCAAACAACTGAGCGCTTCTTTGCCTCGTGGAAGAATCGAACTCTTCTTTAGTCGACCAAAGAATCGAGATCTTCTTTCCTTTGCAGAAGAATGAGAGATGCCTCTGACATTCGACATGGAGGAATGTTGGACAGATGGTGAATACGCGTTACGTGCACATACATGTACCATAGTGAGCTGGATTATTTCCCAACAGTGAGGGGGCCATACGTCTCCACGGCATCGAGACACCAAGTCGAACAGACATTTTGCAGGAGCTGGTTTTACAAGACAGAAACATGAAGTGAAAAATGAATTGTGTCAAGAAGACAGAGACACTATGACTGAGACATTATTCAACTCCCTTTTCCCAGTCCACCACGTCTCTCCTCCTGCTGATTTTGTGTTTCTGTTTTTTCATCTTCTCTCATGCGCTGCTGCCTTTCGACGAGCCGTGGATGTGTGTGTAGGAGGCGACCGAGAAAGATGAGTTTTCTTTGCTAATAATGCCAAAGTGAAATCTGATTCGACTCGATCCCAGCAAACTGCACCAGGTCGTCAAGGATGAATGGCTGACCTCAACCGACGCTTCAAAGTATCCTGATCCCACGTCTCTGCCACCTCATCGTCTTTGTCTCGAGAGCGCAGGCAACTGTTGATTCACCTTGCGTGCCCTTCGAACGAATGTATGTCAGATATCGGAGGTCGCCGCCCACGGACATATCCCGACAAGGCCCTTAGTCGATTGTAACGCCAGGAGAGTGTACCCAGGCCCGTGAAAGCTGCTGCCTAAGGCAAGGCATCATCATTACAGTTATTAGGCCGTCGAGGGATATAAAAGAGAGAGAGAAATATGGTTCTGTCGCCCAGGTAGAGGCCCGTGGTTCAGAGGAAGAGTTGGTACAGCAAAAGCAATCATGTCGACCACATCGCTAGTCGAGCAGCAGCAGCAGCAGCAGCAGCAGCAGGAGCCGGGTTTCGTGAAGCTGGAGCTTCGAACTGCTTACGGGCCCGTCTATCGTAACGTGTCGACGAACCCGCCGCGAGATGCCCGGCCGGACGAGATCCCGTTGATCGATCTCAGTCCCATCTCCGGCGACTTCGAGGCACGCAAGGCTCTCGCCCAGACCATCAAGCACGCGGCCGAGAACACGGGCTTCTTCTACATCCGCAACCACGGCATCCCTGAATCCACGGTCGACGCTGCACTAAACGCAGCGAAGACCTTCTTCGCACAACCCGAGGACAAGAAGATGTTGGTGTCTAAGTCCCTGGGGAAGTGGTACAATGGCTATTCAGGAAAGATGACGGCCATGGCCAGTCCCACGGAAGGATGTGAGTTGTCGTACCCCTTTTCTCACTTTATTGAGGCCGAGACTTTTGCTCCTGTCAAATGATTTCTTGATCTTTGTTTTGACTGGAGCATACGCAGTGGACTACCGTGAATCCTTCTCGTGGAGATATGAGCCGCAATACGACCCAGACCCGAAGGACCCTGACGCCGTCCCGCCAGAAGTCCAGCCGTATATCCGCGGCGAGAACTACGTCTGGGAGGGCACCGACCACCTGCCCGGGTTCAAGAGGGACTGCATCGCCTACTGGCAGGAATGCCTCAAGCTGGCGCGGCGGCTGGTCCGCATCTTCGCCCTCTGCCTCGACCTGCCCGAGGACTACTTTGACGCCGTGACGACGTACCCGGGCAGCGACGGCGTCTTCAACTACTACCCTCCGACCATGTCGTCGGCCGAGAAGAAGGACGCCGTCGAGAGCCAGGACGTCGGCCTCGGCTCCCACACCGACCTCCAGTGCTTCACGCTGCTGTGGCAGGACATGAACGGCGGTTTGCAGGTGCTCGGCCGCGACGGCCAGTGGATCAAGGCGACACCCGTGAAAGGCACCTTTGTCGTCAACATCGGCGACTATCTGATGCGCTTGACCAACGATCGCATGAAGTCGACCGTGCACAGAGTCTACAACCGATCCACGATCGACAGGTACCTCTCTTCCTCCCACCTTTCCTTCTTCTTCTTTTTCTTGTCATTCTATTCTTTCGTTCTGCTAGCTTGGATGGATGTATCATGTTCCTTCCTTCCTTCCTACATGGGTCCTCTCTCTCACTGTTCTAACCCCTTTTCTTTCTGCAAGATATTCGATGCCCTTCTTCTTCGGCTTCAATTTCAACGAAAAGTGCGGAGTCCTGCCTAGCTGCGTCGACGAGGACAACCCGCCAAAGTACGAACCCATCTCGTGTGGCGACTGGTGCCAATTGAGATTTCAGCAGGGCGACATGGACAAGGATAAGGACAAGAAGGTGGCTGCTGTGTACTGAGTGAAGCGAGATGAGATGAGATGACAGGTCGGGTGCGCTGCTAAGTAAGGATGATGGATCCACGGCCCACAAAGAATTGAAAAGGGAGGTAGGTTATCGGGAAACATAACTTCTCTCGACAAGCAAGTATAACATTGAAAATTTGTCTCAAGATACTTTTTTAATAAGCATGGCACATGGATTCGGGGCAAAGAGAGAACTTCTCAGTCCCGTCCTTGTCGCCAGGATTCCAGCCAACTTTGTCCTGTCCCCTATTTGAGCCCTTCTGGAGCCTTGTCGTTGGCCTCACCAATATCCAGTGCCACCAAAAACCGGCTGACCATGTTGTAACTCGCAACCGTAGCCGTAATCTCAACTATCTCCTGGTTACTAAAACCTGCGGCCTTGACTTCGTCAAACAGGCTCTGGGGGACAGTGACCTCTCGAGTCATGGCGTCCGCATATCTCAAGACGGCCCATTGACGGTCATCGAGCGCTCCCTTGGAGGTCGGGTGCAGCTGTTTCACCACCGACAATTTCTCTTCCGAAAAGCCAGGAGATTTCGAGAGGATTGGGGCATGAGCATTCCATTCGAACCAGGCACGGTTGATCAAGGCAGGACGGCAGATGGCGATCTCGCGGATGTCGTCTGGCAGGGAGTTCTTTGTCCGCACCGCGCCGAGGAGGGCGTTCCACCCTGGTAAACTGGTCAGCGTAGAACAATCTGATCAAGAGGCCGGTGACAACAAACCATCTGCGATCTTGGGAGCATGCAAAAGAGTTAAATCCAGCGAAATCAGGCCCATGGCACCCCGGCGTGCTTTGACCCGCTCCAGCACCTCTTGGTCCTCTGGGGAGAGGTTTGTTGGAGGGTTGGGTACATAGTCGAGACGCATGATGTCCAGAAAATTGAGATTCTCCTTACCGATAGGTTTGGGTCTTGTAAAGAAGAGCGGTTGGTTTCTAAAGAGTCAAAGTGTCTCCCACTCAAGCAGATTGCGAAATATGAAGACTCTTCCATTGATCAATGCTCCGAACACAAGTACCCCGCCACCACCGCAGTCCGCAGACGACGGTACCCGAGCTTGACCGTGTGCGGGGAGGAATATTGGCTGTCATTTAGTTTCTCCAACGGCGGAACAGCCGCGCTTCAGTGGGGTTATTTGGGAGAAGGGGCTCGAGCGTGATGTGTGGTGTTGGGGTTACCAGTGAACTCTGGATATTGCTCTTCCAGGGGGTCTATTCGATTCTCCCGGTGTGACGTGAGGCCGTGTGGTTTGATAGTTATCATCAGGGATAGTGAACGAGGAGATCAGCGTGGGTAGGTAAGTGGTAGAAAATCGATCAGGCTGCGCAGACTGTGACTTGGATGGCTAGTTTCTAGGGTGCCAGTCAGTGTCTGCGGTGGTTGATGCTGTGGGAATTGTCAGCAGCCCGGCTTCCCGCCGCGCTTTTTGTCCCCAGCGTCGCCCATCTTCAGTGGACAAATAGCAGTTCAACCCAGGCTCTTATTCTCATCTTTCTCTTCTCACGGGGTTTCCAATCTCACTTCTATAATGACTGAAGCTCTGGCAAACGTCGTACAAGCAGGTTTCCGGCGGTGATCCCCGAAGTTGGCCAGCGTGAGACAGCAGCAGGTAAGTCCTCGTGCGGATCCAAACATTCTTGATGGGGGTTTAAGCTAGCCAAGTGAACTGGGATCAAGAGCTTGGTGTGTCTATTCGATTTGTCCTGAAGCAAGCCGGCCTGCAGAACCTTGGGAAGACGGAACGAATGGCTACGGCATCGGCCAAAGAAAAGACATAAAACACTCCGAATCAGCTTATCTTGTTTGAAAAGGGAAGGACTGTGGTGACCGTTGAAACCGAGGGCAAGCAATGCGCAGATCGGAAGATCAAAAGAGCACAAGTTGGCGCGCCCTGTGAGGCGCAGTTGATTTTCCCCGAGTCCGCCGCAACCTAAGCTTCGAAGCGCTATACAACTTCTCATTTGCCCAGTAGCGACTTGATCCGTGCGACCGCGCACGACACTCGATGACAACCGAAAACTAACCACCATCCCAACGACCTACTTCGCTTCCGGGAGATGCCTGAATTATTGCTAAACATCAAGACTTGATCACTTTTCCAGCCAAGCTAAAGTTTTGGCACCTCCTGACTCGAAGAGTGCGAACTTGATCGTCCAATCCTCCACCCTCACCTCATCTTTGTCCCTGGGTGCGCCATCACGAGACAAGGCCAAACACCCTCCCCCATCTTACCGTCTTGAGCCATCTCACTCTCCAAGCCATCGCTCTTGCGTCACGTCGGATTGTCCACTCACTGCATCGCTCCTCACTCGTCCTCCTTGACTTGTTATCACCTCGGAAGACCCTATCACCCCCTCCCCTCCCGCCCGTTCCTATCGAACCGGACAGAAACATCGTGCCTACCTACGACCCAACTGCTTTGCGCCTACTTAAGCCCGTCCCTCCCCAGACCCAAATCTTCGACAGCCCATATGCCTGGAATTCGTATGTGTCTCTTCTGAATCTCCTACTTCGAACCCTTGTCCCTCCGGTGGCTCGGATTAGTTTTGCCATACCAGATCAAGATCAACAGTCCTTTCTAATACAAATCGCTTAATCATAGCCCTCGACGCAATGGACAAGCTCAAGGCTCTCTTCAGGCGCAAGAAGGATAAGGAGAGCAGCGCCGCTGCCACCAAGACAGATACCAATGGTGCTGCCGCCACTGCAAAGCCGACAACTACAGACACCGCCGCTGCACCCGCTTCCAGCGAGGCGGCCGCTCCTCCTGCCCGTGAGTATATCCCCAGTCGTCTCAAATCCAGCAGTCCTGACTCTCTCTACATAGCCACTGGTACGACTGATGCTCCAGCGGCCACTGATAAGCCAGCCGATCCAGTTCCGGCCAACACTCCCGCTGCGACGTAGGGTGCGCCCGCTACAGACAGACACGATGCTTGACGGATGACTCAGAGCCTCAATTTTCTCACACCATCCGCCGCCGGTTGTCAAGATGCGCGCAACCGATATCTTGTCGAGCCTTACGCCCTCGTTGTTCACGCGGCTACTGCCTCCAAACACCCTCACGGAGTCGGCCCATTTTCGCAAGTTTAGCTCTGTCCTTCAGTTTTGTCCCCGAGCGTCTAATTACCCATTATACCCCTTTTTGACGCCACTACGAACCTTGCAAATTCGACGATACCCTTTGTTCTTCAACAATTCATTCCCTAAATTAGCAAACAAATGACCGCAGTTGGGCTAACGGGCCGGGAAGGATGGTCGGAAAATATTGCGTTTCGTGCACCCTTGAGCAATTGAGATACCCCTGCCGCGTCTGTCTCTGACAAGCAGATAGCGAAGCAGTATGATCCGAGTTCAGAGATACCCCCAAGTCCTTCAGATAGTTGCCCTCCTTTTTCGGGCCTTTAGCATAGGAAACAACAATTGGCGTTTTCCATAATCATTAATTCCCATTTTCATATATGCTCCGAAAAGTCATGTGTCCAAGGCCTCATCTTCCAATGAAAAGAATTGTAGATATACACTGAAGCCGCCTCTCCATGACAAGCAAAATCTCGCCATGATGACAGCGTTCTCTCAAAGTAATAATATCAATATGCCATGATCCGCACTCCCATACCATAGCCTACTCAGCGACTCAAACATATTTCAGGGATCTCTCTTTTCGCAGGATCGCATGTACTTCAGATCTTCCAGCACAAAGTTAAACCAGAGAACATATCGTTAGCTGGTAACTCCATGACTTCTAACGAGCCGCTGTTGCCTTGGGCGGGAAAGCTCCGGCCAGCCTCTCTCTGAATCTGAAGAATGTGTCGTCGTCCTTGTGAAGGGATACTCTCGGTCCAGCCATGTATTACCCTTGCGCCACGCTCTCATGTGATGGATGACTAAGGCCGACAACCTGCTCGGGTAAAATGACGCATGAGGCCACAATTCTTCAGTGAGTGAGTTGATGGCTGTCAATCGCCTTTACGGCAAGTTGACGTCCAGCGTGACCAGGACAGAGTCTCCTCCAGACTTTCCACCGTTACTGCTCATCCCAGTTCCGACAGAACTCTTACTTCGGAGAGACATGCCGCTTTTCGAGGTCGGTCGTGACGCTGGGTATATCCGTATCGAGCGCTTTGATTTGTCCCCGGGGATGAGGGACAGGAGGATGTCTTGATGTTGGGAGGATGAGGGGTTGGTCGCGGTCTGTTCGCCGACACTGGCGTGGCTGAGGCCATTGAGCTGCGGCGCAGACATGATCAGGGAGCGGTGGTGGTGTGGGAAGATCTCGACAATCTGGTCGCTGGCCCACCGGGCGATGCCGTCGAGAGCTTCTTGTTCGCGCTGGACTTCTTCCGGGCTCATCAGGTTCTGGGGGGGTACGCTGGATGCGCCCCATGTCCCGTAGCTGTGGCCGGCAGGGTATTCATCGTAGAGAAGTCGGGAGCGGTCGGACTGTCGGTAATTGTCTGTTAGCTGATGGCAACCAAAAGAGAGCCGTGACGTGGTTCACTTCGTGGCGCGCGACAGGGTGTAAGTGTGTTGGCTACATACATCATGATGACTGTGACGGCCGACGCCTAGACAGGAGAGGCAGACTCCCATACTGGCGGGAGATCGTTTGACATGAGAAAGAGACAGGGGGCCAAATGAGCATGGGCTATAACGATTGAGAGAGCGTGGTCATTTTGAACTTGCTGTTACCATTCACCCACGAATCCTGAAGGACTTGATTGCTGAAAGCAGGTCAGCAGCAAAAGAGGGTGACACTGGGGACAATGGACCGAACCGCCGCTGGAAAAGTGACTAGACAGCCACGTCATAAAAGTATTTCCGTTCCGACCCTAGTTTTGGCAGTTTTTCCGTCTCCTCATCTGGCCTCTCACATCTGGTGCCATCATTCTTTCCACCACTTGAGGTCCAGCACGTATTTCAGCACTTCCTTTTTTTTTGATATTTCGTCCTGTCTGGCTTCTTGTTGGTCACTCTGTTGGTCACGTCGTTATAAGTGCAAAACCACTTTGGCGACGATGTATGTTCATGTCCTGCGATACAGTGACAATGCCAGAAATGCCCCTTTCATTCTTGCAGCCGCGAAACACGGCATCTGCTTTCCTTCCGTCTCATCACAATATTTGCCTTGTCCTTGCTTTTCCTGATACATCAAGGTAGGGTCATAGTGCTCAGGTCATCTACTGTCTACCAGCTCGTGTTCCTTGCTCTATTGATGCTGCCACGAGGAGAGGGAATGCCACCCTTTACGCATCAGCGGAGCATTGCTCCGAGCTTGGAGTTCTGCTTTCGACCAATGTCTCCAGCTGAAACATGCCCTTGCTCATCAATCCACCCTTGGAATGCATTGTTTTTGCATCCCAAGAATGCTATTGTTGGTATTGCTTGGGACGATCGTCACCCTTGCATCAGACATTGGCTTGCGAAGATGGGAATTTCATACTCTGTCCCGCGAGGCTGTTGTCGATGCAAAACCACCCTTTTCGCCATTCTGGCCAAAGTATTCAATCCAGGGATTTTCGAGACATTGCTGGATGGCTCCATGCACCAAAATTAATCTGAGTCATTAGTTCGAAGGTGGTATTTGCAATGTTGCTGAAAGGTTGGCTGAAGGTATATATACATGCTATGGCTGTTCGACCTCGATTTTGGATTGTCCATCAAGCTGAGTCATTCTTTCTTTCCCTTTCAGTCACTCGTTCTTGATATTGTCACTCGTTTCAGTCCAGGCTTGCAATTCTTAGTTCAACATGCATTCTTCCTTGATTTCTCCAGCCTTGTGGTTGGGTATGACCACGATCTTTGCTGTTACCTCTGCTCAGGATCCTTCCTCCACTAGCGATGGAGCTTCGACCATAGGTACCACATCCCATTCGTGGCCTACTGAGCCTTACCCTGGAGCAAGTATCTGGCTTGATTGGACCAGCTCAGCCAGTGTCAGCTCCGGAAGCAGCTCGGACTCCAGCTCGACTTCTTCCGCTTTGACCTCTTCGTTCATTAGTGTCAGCAGCACGACCCTCACCACGACTGATGGCATGACAACTAGTTCGGCCACGTCCTCAATTGAACAATCTGCAACCCAAACAACGGTCTCCAGCATCTCCACTTCTACCATTCGGGACTCGACCATTTCTTCTACCCTGTTCACCAGCTGGACTACGTCTGATGGGGGAAGGTCTGCAACCACTGCTACCACACCCAGCTCAATGTCAGTTTCAGGCTCTGTTACCAGCACAACATCTACTCCTTCTCCAAGCACATGCCCGTATGCAGGGCTAGGCTTTGTGAGCCCAGACAATACGTGTGTGAGGTACGACTTTGTCTGCGAGCGCACATATGCCGAGAGCAGCTTCCGAGGGAACTGGATTACCAGAGAAAGCCCCGAGTTGTGCGCTCGTCGCTGCGATAATGCAAACCAAAACCAGGGAGCCGGGTACTGTGTGGGTGTGGTTTTCAATACTAAATCTGCAACCAACAACTGCAGAATGCTAAAGAACCTCAACACCCCTCTCCATGACGCCGGCACTATCGCTCTCCTACTCTACCGCGATCCAAATTGTGGCAGGGTTGCCGAATCTACTACATCCACAACTGAGAGTTCTACCACAATTTCGACTTCGACTTTTACTAGCTCTCTTAGTTCAGTCACGACCGAATCTGCGAGATTTTCATCCACTTCGCCCTCGCCCTCAACTGGCTCTACTGCGACTCAGTCTCCAGACATATCCGCGAGCTCAAGCTCCATCACTACAACCTCTGGGAGCACAATCACAGGCGACCCTGCCACAACTTCTTTGACCTGGTCCTCACGCAGCCGCCGCCCTTCTGGCTCTTATAGCCACACCTGGGGCAGCAGCTATTCCAGATGGTCTGCTTCCTCTAGCAGAAACTTTACAACAGCCGGTCCCTCGATGACGGGTTCTTCTGCCACCATAGCCACGACAAGCACAAGCTTTGGTTCCAATGATACATGGACTAGCTCTTCTACAACATCGACTGTAGCAGATGGAACCTCTACTTGGGCTGGCAGCACAAGAGCTTCTTCAAACGCAACTACCAGAACTTGGTCTCACACTTCCGCGAGCACCCGACCCACCACTTGGACGTCATCCCTCAACTCGACTTCTACAGCGTCCCCTGCGACAACGACTTCATTTGTTGACTCTAGCACAAGTTCCCTCGCCGCAACAGCTACCACTACAACGAGCAGTAGCTGCCCAGCTTCGACCACAACAGTGACAATCACGATCTCTGGAGGCCCTGCCAGCGTTACTGGTCCAATCGTCACTGTCACCGGAATAGTCACAGAGACACGCACCATAACGAGGACGACCAAAACGTTCACTACATCGACCGGGACCCGGACGCGCTACACAACCACTACGGAAACCGACACTGCAACCACGACCATCACTTCGTCCACGATCACGACCATTACCGCCACAGTCACTACAACGCAGACGTTTGGTCAGCGCTGGGGAAGGATCCATTGGTAAGTCGGGAGCTGGGAGGCGATGACCAATGAACCTCCCGGCTTGTCTTGGAGAAATGTCCGCTCGCGAGGGCAGCCAATTTCCGGCTCTGTCAGGGATACCTCTGCATGGGAGGCAATCAAAAGATGAGGATGGGAGATTCTGGTGACGACAACGTTGGCTATCAAACAAGATACTGTGTTATCTAGAACAAGCTTGTCTCCGAGGATTTCCGTCTTGGAAAGCTCTTCTTTACCTAGATTTCTCCCCGTCTAGTCTAATGCAGTAGTTTTCAAAATCTAATTTCCTTTTTAGGGTATGGATCACAACGTAAATCATAACTTGGAGGCCCTTGCGGTGGCTTTCCTCGACCAGATCTGCACGTCCTTGTCTTCAATGTAGTTGGCCGGGAAGTACTGTGGTCCGAGAGTCTTCTTCACCACCTTCCCCGTCCCGCTCTTGGGCAGCTCGCCCTCGATGATTCTCAGCAGGGTCGGCAGCTTGTACCCGGCGAGACGATCGCGCACGTCGGCACGCAGGTCGTCCAGGCTCAATTTGGCCGGATCTCGACTATGCTGCCTGTAAAATTCCTGGGCGACCTCGTCGTTGCGCAGGGATATGACCGCGCCGACGCGCTGCCCGAATTCCATGTCGGGCACACCTACCACCATGGCCTCGCCGATGTAGGGCAAAGCCATCAGTTCTCGCTCAATGTCCAACGCCGAGATCTTGTACCCACCGGATTTGATGATGTCGACGGAGGCGCGGCCGACGATGAAGTAGTACTTCCCTTCCCGACGGGCCACGTCGCCGGATTTGAAGTAGCCGTCGGCGTCGTGCGCGTTTGCAGTGGCTTCGGGATCGTGCAGGTACTTGGAGAACATGGTGAAGGACTTGACGAGGATTTCGCCTTCGTCTCCCTCGGAGAGCTTCACGTCCACGCCATAGGTCAGTTCTCCCACGGAGCCGTCGGGGATGTCCTCGCTGGGGTCCGCGGGCATGTTGAAGACGACCCCCAGCTCGGTCGATCCGTACCGCTGCACAATTCGCCTACCAAGGAGATTTGTCCAGAAGTCATTGATCGGTTTGGGCAAGGCCGAGGTGCCACACAAACACATTTTGAACGCCGCGGCGGCGGCTTTGTAACCCGCCGCCTCATTCGGGGGGAGTTTTGCAATGCGCTCCTGGTAGTATCGCATCATTCTCATATATATCGTCGGTACACCCGTGAAGTGCGTCAGTCCACCCTGCCGCCACCGATTCCACGTCCATTCTGGATCGAAACTGCCAGACTTGAACTCAATGCAAGCGCCCGTCTGGATGAAGGGGAAGAATGACACCCAGATTCCAGTGGCGTGGTGAACGGGAAGGAGGTGGAGAAGAACGTCAGTTTCCTGTAGGCCTATCTGCTGTGCAAAACACATCGACCCATCCACCATGGCAGCGCGACGGAGCACGCCTCCTTTTGGCGGGCCGGTGGTGCCAGAGGTAAAAATGACCACGCCCGGGGCATTGGGATCTAGGTATCGGTTGGAGGAGATCTTGATATCGTCCAGTGCAAAAGGAGGCTCTTGTTCGATCGCGTTGATGGGCACACAGGCAAAATCGGGATTTGTCGTGTTGCGGATCTCGCGTACAACCTCCTCACCTAGCTGTAGAGCTGGCGTCGCCGTGACGAGAGCTACCGACCTCGCCTTGTTGACATAGTAGCAACCTTCCTTGACGGGCTGAGCGGTGCTGAAGGGCGAGGCGGCAGCACCCAGGGCCAGGATGGCCAGTACACCCACCACAAACTCATAACCCCCGGGTGCCACTAGACTGACATAGACTTCCCGTCCATTCTGCAAGTCTTGGACAGTTTCGTGTGTCAAGGAAGCCTTCAACACCCGGCGAAGGACGAGGACGTCACTCAGGAGCTGGGCGGCTGTCCTTTCAATCCCTGCATTGACATCGCGTATCGCCGGCCTGGGATTGGGGCGATGTGCAAGGGTGAGCAGGCGGTTGAAAAGGGGGTCGGCGGGAAGAATGTGGTCGGCCGAGTGACTTGGGACGAAGTCGGTTCTATCGAAAGGCGGCGGCGGCGGCGGCGGCGGTTGTTGCTGCTGCTGCTTCATTGCTTTGGATTTTTTGTTTCTCCTGTTTTGTCACACCACCCTCCGCATCTTGCGGCTCTTGGGCAGCTGCTCGCGCGGCCCCCGGCACTTTTTAAAGTCAGTCTTGGGGGGAGATTCAGCATGCGGTTTCAACACTCCAAAGGGAAAAAACGCCGAGTTGGCCATCCGCGGCGATTGTGCGCAGGCAGCCTCGGCAGTTTGGCTGCGATGAGGGGAGAAGTTGTCGTTGAACTTGATCGAACCACAAACTTCCGAGATACTGATGACCTTTTGCCTAGATTTCAAGTATTTCTTCACCGAGTCCCTTCTTCATTCTCGACCTCACACCTCGCGGTCTGGTCATCCCTCAGAAGAACCATCCTGTGGACGTTGTTGCAAGTCCCTGTCTACCAGATATATCCGAGAGTCCAGCCATGGCTGATTTCACCGACAAGCTTCGGCCTGCTGACCCCCAGGGCCCAGATGTCCTGGCCCAAGAGAGAGCTGGGTCCAGCGTGAATAAAGACCAACTCGCAAATCACCTGCTCTCGCGCAATGACTTCCTCAATCGGCAGAAGAAGATCCTCGACATCTTGGAACCCATCCCCATCTTCTGCAAGAAGAATCAACTCAACATGGCGCGCCCAGACCGCTACCATCTTGGATTGGCACGGGCGAAAGCCATTAGGAGATTGACTCTCAAACACGGCTGGGACCGTGAAGACTATCTCATGGCCGACTATCTGACGGATGAGATGGGTCCATACGCCCTGCATGGGTCAATGTTTATCACTTCGATTCGAGAGCAATGCAACGAAGAGCAATACGCCTACTGGATGCCGAAAGTGGAGAGTTGGGAGATCATTGGCTGCTATGGCCAGACTGAGCTCGGACACGGCAGCAATGTCAGGGGCATCGAATGTCAAGCCAAATGGGACCCCAAGACCAAGGAGTTCATCATCCACAGCCCAACAATCACAGCTAGCAAATGGTGGAATGGTGCTTTGGGCCGAACGGCAAGTCATGCTATTGTCGTTGCACAGCTGTTGCTACCAGACCCCAATACTGGAAAGTACAAATCCTATGGTCCACACCAGTTCATCGTTCAGATTCGGGACAGGAAAACGAACAAGCCATTGGACGGCATTGTGATTGGTGATATCGGCCCCAAATATGGTTACCCTGCCATGGACAACGGCTATATGCTCTTTAACGAGCTGAGAGTCCCTCATTCGGCTCTGCTGTCCAAGTATTCTGGAGTTGATCCAGAGCGCGGGACATACATCAAACCGAAAAACGCTGCCCTTGTCTACGGGTCTTTGACCTTTATCCGTGCTCAGATCATCATGCAGGCAAGGCTCGTCCTCGCTAGAGCAGTTACGGTTGCGGTTCGCTATCTTTCTATCCGTCGACAGTTTTCAGACCGAGATGCAAAGGACGCAGGCGCTCCTGAACAGGCCGTGCTTAACTATCCCACGGTCCAAATCCGGATTCTCCCACTTCTGGCCACTACCTTTGCTCTGCATTACACTGGCGAAGCAATGTACAAGCTCTACTACGGCACCCGAGACCAGATCGAGAAGAGTGGAGACTTCTCCCGTCTGGCTGAGATGCACGCAGCCTCTTCTGGCTTGAAATCCTTGTGCACCACGTTGGCAGCCGATGGTATCGAGACCTGCCGTCGGTCAATGGGAGGTCACGGATTCGGAGGTGGGAGCGGCATGATCGCTCTTAACAATGAATACCTCTCCAAACCTACCGTGGAGGGAGATAACTGGATGATTACACAACAAACCGCAGCCTACCTGATCAAGAGGATGACCGAGGTCACGAAGAATCCTCGACTGAAGCCGACGGATACCGTGGACGTCCAATTCCAAGACTTTGTGGCCAACAAGTCAAAGTCATATGATTTTGATATCCTTGGAGATCCACAGGAGCTGGTCAAAGCATTCAAGCACAGGGCTTCATATCTCTCCTATCAAGTCTACCAGGCCAGGGTCATTGAGAAGAAGCCCTGGACGAGCATGATGATCAGCCTGCACAGACTCAGTCGAGCTCACTCGGAAAGTCTTCTTGTCTCGAATTTCTACAATGCCGTGTTCGAGAGCACCCCGAATCCTCCCATTGATGCCGCAACCTTGAACGTGTTGAGGGTCTTGTTCCGCCTCTTCTCTCTCTTCACGCTGGACGTATCCGCTTCGGAATTCTTGCTGTCCAGGGCGATATCCGTCGAGAAGTTGCAGCACGTGACACCCGCAATCCAAGATCTGATGACCCAAGTGCGGCCTCACGCTGTTCGACTTGTGGATGCTTGGTCTATCCCAGACTACTTGCTTGAGAGCGCACTGGGAAGTTATGACGGTGACGTATACAATCGACTCTACCACAAGGCACACAAGGAGAATCCCCTGAACCAGCTGACCTTCAACCCGGACTGGAAAACTGAGGAAATTGTGATGGGCGAGGGTGAAGAGAATGCCAGGAGACGGCTGGAGGCCCTAGCATTGGGGGTGGGAGGACGCGAACAGTTTGGGGCCGTCAAGTCAAAATTGTAGACAAGAAAAAGAAAGAAGCAGACTTAGAGAGGCCTAAAATTCTGGTACTTTGTGCATACAATGCATACAATTCTCAAACTCTAGATCTTGGCCTTCGCGGCGGTGCCGATTCTCTTCCTGTGCACGTAGCTAATGGACTTGAACTTGTCCAGCGCCTCGCCCCACAGTTCAGCCCTCAGCAGGCCGTAGACGCCCATGGTGGCCCTGGGGGCGATGGTCTTTGCAAACTCGACGGCCCTCTCCCTCATCTTGTCCGGCTCGCAGATCTCGTCGACGATGCCGTCCTTGAGCGCCCCCTCGCCGGTCCACTTGTGGGCCTCGAGCAGCATCTTCCGGGCGATCCTGGGACCGAGCTTGAGCCGCGGCAGGGCGCCGATGCCGTCAAAGTGCAGGCCCAGGTTGACGGGCGGCATGCTGATGAAGCCGCGCTTGCTGTTCATGATGCGGTAGTCGCACGACAGCATGAACGGGCACGCACCGCCAAAGGTGTGGCCCGTGATCAAGGCGACGGTCGGGTACGGGTAGTCCACCAGGGTGGCCAGCAGAGGGTAGAAGCCGTCGGCGTTGGCGTAGATGTTGGTGTCGGACTCGTCCAGCTCCAGGCCCGTGCACCAGAACTTGTCCGAGAAGGACGAGATGACGACGGCGCCCGGCGAGTCGGGCTTCATCAGCTCCCTCTCAATGTAGCGCAGCGCGTCGATGATGGTCTGCGCGTACGCCTGGTTCAGCCGGTTCTCGGGCGGTTTCTGCATGGTGATGACGTGCACGCCTGGAGCCGAGGGCGGTGACTCGATGCTGAGGTTGGGGAATGTACGCGCCATGTTGGATGATGAGGTAGGATCTTTTTTTCTCTTGTTGTCGTCAAAAGGGCCAGATGGTCTATCTTACTGAGACGTCCTTGATGGGGAATGAGAGATTGGCGAGGAGTTTTGGCCGCCTTTGTCTCTGGAGAAGGTCTTCTCTAAGTTTGCCAGGATCGAGAGCCGTAAGCTATATCGTCGGCTTTGGGTTTTTTTTCCCTTTCTTCCTTTACCGACATTGAGCTCCGGCGGGAGGACCGGCGATTTGCCTCGGCGATATCAGAGTGCAATCATCCCCAACAGCGCAGCCTCGCCGGCTTTCCTGATGGAAGTGCGGGGGAGTTCAACTTTATTCGGGGTAACAGGGCACGTACATGGCCAACCTCGGCAGTGGAATAATGATGTTCCAGCCGCCGGATCTAAATTTACGAACTAACCGTCTCAGGTATGGTGTCTCGTGTGCAGGGCTGATCACCTGCTTTGTCCGCATCAGGGGCTCTAATTAGTTCGTCCACCGCTCAAGTGCTCGACGTCAATCCTCCAGCAAGGCTGATCAGTACCTATTCTTTGGAAGCTTACAAGCCCTGTATTCCAGCAAGACACTCACGAGGACATTCGCAGAGAGTGCGTCGAGGCTATCCCCCGCAGAAAAGACATGAATCGAAAGCTCCTCCCGTCTCGAAAGAGTGTTCGGGCCAAACTCCACATGTATGCAAGCACGGCGCCTACAGAGGACGCTTCCATCCCTCCTGCGTGACGGCCATACTTGCCAGGATAATCGAAGAGAGAGAAACAAGCAGGTCATTATTCAGAATAGCGCTCCTCGACGCAGCTTCTGCCTACATGCGGTCAATCTGATCCCCCAAGCCGCGGCGCCCCCTCCCCCCAAAGCACGAGACATGTTTCCTGACGCTTTTGCAATCTTCCTGACTCGCCACAGCCCGATTATACTCTCCCGAGTAGAGCCGAAGTACTCCCCTTTCGTCACTTGAATGTGGAATTCCCGTTAATGCAGCCTTTTCACGGCCTTTTCAGCCAACACAGCACCTGTCCGATTCACCAATTGTCCCTCCCGTTGGAGGCTGATGCCCGGATTGTGCTTCCTGCGCCACAAGCTCTTCGCTTTTTGGTCAGCGTGGCATCTCAAACAAATGCAACGGTCGGCCAACCAGCTGAAGGACTGATCATCCCAGCTAACCGCCGGTTGGGTTGTATTCCTGCGGGCTCGGACACACCTTATTGTGGTCTGCGTGGAAGGTTCTCCACCCCCCAGTTGGCTCTGGCCCTGAACATAATATAGGGGCGTCTCGCATTCAACTCGTCGATCTGTTTCTGGAGGCGGGCAACCTCATCTTCGGCCTTGGCGATGCTGGCTGTGAATCTGTCGCCCTCGGTCCTCCATCGCGCCAGGTTGTCTTTCTCCTTCTGGAGTCGTCTCTTCTTGACGGCCATCTCCTGGCAATTCTTACAGTCTTCGTCAGTTTTGGACAGGTTTTCGGTGTCGACAAGTTTAGCGCCGCAAGTCTCTCCAATTCGAGGCTGGCGAGGGCAACGCTGTTTCATGTTTCCCCATCTCCAGTCTCCGCATGCGAAATCGGTCCTGGCATAGTAACACATCTTGCTTGGTTGCTATATTTGAAAAATGAGAGATCAGACCCAATGGAGTTCTTGAGAAGCTGCCTTTGTCAGACACAGGTCAGCCCAGCTCCTTCTGGTACTTTGCTGGCATCAGGCTTACTAGTGAACTGCTCCTCCTACTGAACTTGGGATTGAGACGGACTGTTGTCGTCAGAGGCTTTTCCTGGTTCCTGATGTCAGCTGGGCGTTCTGGGACGAGGTCACGGTGACCTGTGACCGTGGCCAGATGTTGTTGAAGCCTGGCCCCGCTGTGGACGTGGATGATTTTGTTTGAAACAAGACTCACTTTGGTTGTGGAAGGTGAAGACCGTTGGCTGAGTTTGTTTTCGACAGACCAGGCTTCTTGACGTCTCTTTATAGCCCTTTGGAGCCAGTCCTTCCCCGCCGATCCTTGCTATGTGAGACGGGCTGGTGACTTGTACCAAAGGCCATTTCAATTCGGACTGACTTCAAGTATCTGGTCGCTTGAGGTCAGAAGATGCAGCCGGTACAACTATTCCACTGTCAACACGGTGGTGGCGAACCAACTGTGACGAGCGATTGCATTTTCCGACATGCACGAGACCCTCAGTGGATGTGAGCCGGTCTGCCCCCTCATCGCTGGCGGATCATCAGTGCCTTTGGCCTTGATCAAAATGTCTACCTCTGCATGGTAAGCCAAAGTTTGTTTCATTCCCACTGCTGCGCTCTGAGAGCCATGCGGCGTGGCAGATTTTGAGTCGTGGAGTCTGGACCCGCTCATGCTAGCAGCCAACAGGTGGGTGAATCTGGAAAAAACCAAGAACGCAGTCGTTGTTCGGTAAGGAGCCGTACTACAGCCAGCAGCTCTGGTGACGGCGGGTCGCCATTCCACGGCCCGCAGTGCCAGGGCCTGGACGGCTTCACGGATCGCAGCCAAGGGGCTTGAATTCACGTCTTATAATGCCCGTCAAACAGCTTTGAGGGGGGGCAGGCCGGATGTTTTGGATTGTTTTCCCGGCCCGGCGGCACCATCATAGCCCAACCATAACATCGCACACAACGGAAGGACTTGCCACATTGTCTCTCTTCGAAGATCGAGCCCCAGGAGCTCTGCTTGCCCTGATCACTACGCCTTGCAACGGCGGTCTGTCTCCAGCGTGGTACCGTTTGGCCCGTGTATGGGGTGTCAATGTCGTTGGCGCACCCCACGAGCGGATTTCTTTGCGCCTGGTTTTCCAGAGAACTAGCTCCACCCCTGTTCCCACTCGTTTGCGGGATGTAAGAGCGATGGCTCGAGACAGCATGGCTAATGGGCGTTTGACACGAGCACCACAGAAAGGGAAGGTTGTCCGCCTTCTGATGGCAGGGTGACCAGGGGTTGCAAGAGGATCCCTTCTCCAGCATCAATTTACTTGTCCAGAGCAGGCATCACGACTTGCAGCTCGGAGGCCCCTGATTTGCCGATCGGTATGCTACATCACTGTTTCTCCTCAGCATCATGATTCCCCAGGACATCGGCCTGCCAGCGAAGACCTCCAAGTTCCCTGGTCATGGAGCGGCGTAGTGCAATGGACCTTATCTATCCCTGCATTCTTTCCTCAATGCCCGCCCAACACGGAGAACGTCCCGCATATTGTTGAGCTGGCTCAAGGATATTGGTCGAGGTCACTGTCAAAGCTGTCACTTATACTTTCCGCAAACGCCTCTGGGGCGATGCGATCCGCTCAACAAGCCACCGGCGCTCTAGTTCTGAACACCTCAGAGCGTCATTAAGGAAGGGACCGTGCATGAATGGAGCTTTGCCTGGCTATTTGCCTGACTGTTGCCAGAACTGATCCTTTCCGTTCACCACTTTGGGCTTGGTGCTGGTCGTTGTCCAACCTAGCACGTTGGGCCCCAAGTCGATCTCTGAGTATCGCTACTGACGTGGAGGAGGTCACTCATCTGCCCACTTGGTACACAAACACCTGATGGTGGTGAGGAACGCATGGGTCTGGGTCTGCCTTTGTCTTTCAGCTCGACCGCCAGCGAATACCCGCTCACCCCAACCTGGTCATCCTCCAGGCAGCACCTGTTTAATCAGCTCTTTTCTTATCCGACTTTACGACCACGTGAGCAAGTTCCTCTCCAGCAAACTGTTTCGTATCCCTTGCCTCGTTCTTCCTAGCGGTCTGAGAGCTCATCAACCCTGTCTCTGTTGAAGCATTTCCTGCCAGCATGGCGTGCCGAGCTGAGGATCCTGCAAAGTTCTCGCTTACCATAGCATCGGCTGGAATCTGGGCCTCCTGATGTGCAGCAAGGACGAGCGCCGAAGCATGTTACTGGCCATTGGAGATCCGCCTCATTTCACCTCGAGTTGTTGCAGCTCTCCGCGGCCGCCGTCAGGATGTAGAGCTAGCGCACAGCCCAAAGGTCCACCTCGTTGCGCTCCAAGGACATCCTCCTGCACGAGGCAAACCCTTCCCAACTAGGATTCCTTCTTGTTTCAGACCTACGGGTGGCTGCCACATCAGATGAGCGACATCTACGGCCCGCACCATCCCCTCTTCCAGCAGCGACGAACTGAACCTTCTAGCCGAACAGTTCCCCCAAGGATCGAGCGATCGCCGCCTCTGTTGCAACAGTGCTCTGCCACGCTGCGGCTCTGCGGTGAAATGGATACTCGCCCAAATTGGGAAGTGGTGATCCTTGAACAGGGGAGACACGGGCACACCCTCTCGCAGAGTCTTGCACTGCCCGTCCTGCTCACATTCTGAGGTGAAGATATGTCAATGCTCAGGAGACATCTGTTCTTCTGTTGTTTCACTCTTTGATGGCTTTAGTAGGAGATGGCTTTATCAGCTGGCGACAAGGACGAGGACAGGGGTCGCTTTATCAAAAGTTGACTGAGATATGGTTGATTTTGAACCCCTATTTTCTATTGATGAAAGGATCCTGACGTGAGGCAGACAGATATGCAGAGTTGCCTGGTACTCAAAAACCCCATGTCTCGCTGCCAGACATATACCCCGTCGCCGTGTCTCCACGCCACGGGCCATGCCTTGGGTGTTTTGGGTACTTGAGGGACCAGCGTCGGCCTACCGCCGTCTTATTATTCTTTTCCCTCGAACTCGAACTCTCCCCATCTGTGCGCTCGTACCCAGCTGGGTACCTCCCGTGAGCCTGCCATGTTGGGTGCAAGGTGCGACTGGGCTCAAGCCACAAACAAGGGCAAGTTACTGGTGGCAATGTTGAATGTTGGGAGAGCCAAAGACACGCAGGAAGGTCAAGGGTAGATGGTGGATGGATGGATGGATTTGAGAGATAAACCATGCAGGGCTTCTTGACTGCTTGCTTGACTACATTGCCATGCACGATCAAAAGACCCTCACTGCCTATAATACATTCATAGCTCTCTCCCGAGTATGTTTATCTATCTATCCATCCCCATATACACAGTACCACTGGTATCTCGATCATCAGAGCAGAGGTTATTATCTTCTTCCCTCCCTCCCTCTATTCTCCCTCCCAGGAGTCCATCCTACCCTATCCTATCCCATCCACCACAAGCAAAGACAATGAAACCGAAAGAAACATCCCGTCAAGCCAAGTAAAGCAAACGGTACGCCACGTACGCCGGTGAAGTGACCACCAACCAGCACAGCACTCTCGTCCCCAAGCGTTCAAGGGAAGAGCTAGACTGTCCCTCTCCTTGGGTATCCATTCACTGTATGTATGTAGGGCCCATCTGATATCGATTGGTTTCATGCTATGCATACATACCTAGGTATCTAGATACGTTGGGACATGTGCACCTGTTTGTGTATGTGTATGTGTGTGTGTGTGTGTGTGTGTGTGTGATTTACTGATTGACTGATTGATACATAGTAGGTACGTAGACTTCTACGATATCCATAAATGTAATCTTTGATCTTGTTTTGATCATGAGGACAAGGGTGATGATGATAGTAATGGTAATGAAGACGTCCTTTGCACAGCCTCTATCACTACCTAGGTACCCCTGCCCCGTGCCCTTGACCGTGCCTTTGTCTCATCTTGACCTGCCAACAAATATGTATATTTTTTTTTCTTTCCCTCTAGAGATATATATACATGCATGCACCAACGAAGAAAACTGGACCGGATCTCCAGGCCTTCTGACAACGCGACACTCGGGTCTCGCGCGGGCTCTGTAGGAAGCGGGCTCATCAACACTTTCTCGCGGGCGGGGGGGAATCACTTCCGGGCAAGATTCTTGTGCAAGACGTGTTCTTTCATGCCCAGCCCAGCGATGGCGGCCAGGACGGCCAGGCCGAGACCGGCGAAGAAGGCACCCCGCAACGCGTCCATGTAGATGGCCAGGACGGTGGGTCTGTCCCAGCCTGGAGGCAGGTGGTTGATGGCGTCGAGGGAGTCGCGGATGTGGCGGATGACGGTGTCACTGTTTGGGAGGGAGCCGTAGTGGACGTGGAGTCGGTCGGTGAGGATGTTCTGGAAGACGGCGCTGGCGACGGTGATGCCGATGGTGGAGCCCGTGGAGCGGAAGGCGTACGACGCCGCGGTGATGACGGCCTGGTGGGCGTGGTCGACCGAGCTGATCATGCCGACCAGCGTGATGGTCAGCATGCCGCCGTACGCGAAGCCCAGCGGCGTCGGGAACACAAACGTCATCCACGCCGGCGTGTCCAGCTGAAAGGTGCACAGCAGCCCCGTCCCCACGACGAACGTCACCATCACCCCGACCATCTGCGCGTAGTACCGACCCGTCGCGCGCATCAGGTACCCCGACGCCAGGCTGCCGACCGACGTCGCGGCCGCCAAGGGCACGACGCGCAGTCCCGCCGCCGTGGCCGATAACCCGCGCACCTGCAGGTACAGGGGCACGTAGTAGATGGCCAGGAAGGCGGCCATGGTGCCGAACCAGTTCGCCAGGCACGCCGAGAGCACCGTGCGCGTGCGCACAATCAGGGCCACGGGGAGCACGGGCTCCGGCACCCACCGCGGCTGCGACTCGAGGTACATGAACCCGGCGAGCGTGGCGACCGACAGCGCCAGGCTGGCCACGATCAGCGGGTGGCCCCAGGGGAGCTGGTTGCCGCCCGTGTTGAGACCCAGGAGGAGTAGTACCAGGCTGGCGACCAGGAAGCCCGAGCCGAGGAAGTCGATGCGCGACAGCGCCGGCTGCGTGCTCGGGTTCACGGGGATGTCGACCAGGAAAAACACCATGACGGTCGACACGGCGATGAAGGGCACCTGCAGCAGAAACGCCCAGCGCCACGACAACTTGTCCGAGAGGACGCCGCCGAAGACGCCGCCGAGTCCCATGCCCAGTCCATAGACCAGGTTGCCGTACCCTTGCCACAGGCCCCGACGCCGCAGGGGCACCAAGTCGCTGGTGATGTAGGTGGCGATGCAGGTGAGGCCGCCGCCGCCCACGCCCGCGACAATGCGTCCCGCGATGATGGCCCCGGCGCTGGGTGCCAGCCCGCACAGCAGCGTGCCCGCGCCGAAGAAGATGTTGGAGAAGATCAACCCCCAGCGCCGCGAGAAGATGTCGGTCAGCTTGCCCGACAGTGGCTGGCACGCCGAGTTGGCGATGAGGTAGCCTGTCGCCAGCCACGAGAGGAGGGAGAGCGAGTTGAAACTCGATGAGATGGGAGCGGTCAGGGTCGCGACGATGGTTGTATCTGTTGGTCCTTCGTTAGTTATTGATGATGGAGGGAAATAAAGCAGCCTCATACCCAGAGCAGCAAAGAAGACCCCAATCCACGTCGCTGCCATGATGGCGACCAGCTTCTTGGTACTGGGCTCCTCGGCCACCGCGATCTCGTCGGCTTCCGTCACTGGCACGGGCACGGGCTGCGCGCTCTCCGGGTCGACAGCGATGCCATTCTGCTCGCCGCCGAGCAGAGGACTCGTCTCGGAGGGTTCGTGGGTGTCATGAGCTGTAGTCGTGCTGCTCCCGTCCCTCGTGGGCGCCATTCTTGTTGTGCTGTCGAGATTGCGAGTGAAATCGCAGAGTGATAGATGGATCGATATCAATCAGATGACGATGCGAGTGATTTTGTCCAGAGGGCGATTCCGAGGACAGGATTTGTTGGGATTCCTTCGCATCCGTCTCTCTGGCCCGCGCTCCGTTTCGGTGTCTAGTCTGGCTGCTAGACGGTCCCTCAATGATCCAGGTCAAATCCGAATTGGGTAGACAGACAGACAAAGAGATAGATAGAATGCGGCCTCCCAAGAAAATTGTTCCTTTCCGTGCTCTTTATTCTGCGCACCCCGTATCAGTGCAACACACACAGACTCCCTCGCAGATGTCGTAAGTCGCTCGACCCCTCGATAGAATTGGGCGAGATGGATATTATTTATTAGTGTCGTAGTTAGATCCAACTGATGCAATCAATAACCTGGGAAGAGGTTCCTGTCGATCAAAAGAAATATTACTGGGGGGTGTTTCTTGTTAGTTGATTGGCTTGGAGGGTCGGTGGGGTGGTGGTGGCGGCGATGTGCGTGCAATCATTAAATCGTCAGGGTCGAATCGCTACGCAGCAAAAAGGCTCGTAAGCAGCGAGTCTCTTACACGATATTTCCTCACAACATGGTGATTGGCTGGTTGCTGGTTGGATACTCACCACAAAAGACGTGGAGGGGAGGACATGTATCTTCGTATCTACTTTCGTTCAGTATGTATACGAGAGCGGGGATCATGACTTGGAAAACTATTCAATTCAACACAATATGTCCAATACATAATATAGAATAGGGAGAGGCGATACCCCAGAACCCTCTGTACTCAGTCTCGCAAGGCTTCAATATCGACAATCTCCTTGACAGCCTCGGTCGTCAGCACAAATGGGCTGTCGTCCTGGATACTGACACTGTCTTCAATGCGTACCCCCATGTTCCGGAAATACTTTGGCCACCGCTCGTTGTCCGGCACATAGACTCCGGGCTCAATAGTGATACAGTGTCCCTCTTGTAGCACCACTTTCCGCGTATAACCCACCGTGTCATGTACGTCCAAGCCGATATAATGACTCAAGTGGTGCGGGAATAGGCTCTCAATGGCTTTGGAAGACATGTCAAAGCCAATCTGCCGCAGCTCGTTGGAGAGGTGTTCTTCTGCTATGTTGTGCAACTTGTCCAGTGACATATTCGCACTACCTCGGCAAAGCGAGATCAACGATCTCTGGACTGTGAGCACTGCTTGGTACAGATCTCGCTGTGCGTCGCTGAATTTCCCTCCGACAGGCCAAGTCCGCGTGATGTCGGCGATGTAGCCACCGTACTTCCCACCACCGTCCACAAGGACCAACTCGTCATCCCGCAGAACATCATCGTTGCGGACGTAGTGAATGCCAAGTGCATTCTTACCACCAGCAACGACAGGCTCAAATGCGCTCGTGTCGCAGCCATTCGTGATGAAGCGATGGCGGAGATACGAGTCGAGCTGTTTCTCGCGCGTCCATGCTTTTCTCATGGCATCCGTGTGGGCCCGTCCTGATGCTCTTCCGGCTATTCGCATGAGCTCGATCTCGGCTGCGCTCTTAAAGGCTCGTAGGTCGTTCATGATCGGTCGAAGCCGGTGGACTTTCCGCGACTCAATGAGCTCTGCGAACTCGGTGGCCTTGCGGGATGCACCAAACAGAAACCGCTGGAGTGCCGAGCGGTTGGTATCGGGACTCGTGATGTCCGTGTAGACCTGAGACGCTTCACCCACCAAGTCCGGAAGGACCTTTTTCAACCTGGAGATGTCACCCGTTTCGTCTGCGTTGAAGACGTCCTTTGCTGCCTGTGTGCCCGATCTTGCGCCATCCCAGATCTCCGCTTTGGGGTCCTTTTCGCGGACAAACAGGTAGAACGTGTGGTCCGTACCCGTAGGGTCTTTGCCGATGACGGCGAGAGCTTCAGGTTCGTTGAAGCCGGTCAGGTAGAGGAAGTCGGGGTCTTGGTGAAACTCGTAGAAAACGCTGCCGGAGCGGAATTGGAGATCAGCAGCGGCGATGATGGCAATGGCCTTGTCTGGCAGCTTGGCCGCAAGCCGCGTGCGCCGGTCGGCGTACTCCCGCGCTGTTATCCCTGGAGTCAGCTCCCCTGGCTGGAGGAGATGCGGATGAGTCTCGTGGACAGGTTGCCCAAAGGCAAGATCGGCAGCATTGACTGTCAGCGTGTTATACTGGCGCGGGCGTGATCCCTTGCATCTGGTGGTTGCACGAACGGCAGGGGCTTGATTGAGGACATTATTGGCACGGATGAGCGTCTGCCATAATGTCCTCCGCATCGACATGCTCTGAAGCAATGTCTGCAATGAGATAACACGATGGTTGGAGGATCAAAGTGGACAAAATCATCATGGTTCAGTCCAACTGTCAGTTTGACATTTATGTCGCTCTTCTCCAACCAGCGAGATGCTGCCTCGGGTCTAATTGCCTAATTGGGCCACGGCCAATGACGCCCTCCGCGTTTGATATACGCACGAACATGCAGTTCCAAGGCAGTGACCTTGTCAATGACTCACTTGATCTGTCAGAAACAGTCTAAGAAGGGCGCATATTGATCCATTAATACTCGAGGCGGCCACGTCCAGACCTTCTTGTGTCTGTCTTCCCTCTAGCCATAGAAAGAGACTCCTATCAAACCGCGACCATGGTGAGGCATCTCGAGTATCCAAAGAAACCACAAAATACTGTGAAGCGATATAACAACAGAGGTAGGTGAACATGTCCTTGAGCATAAGAGGTCAAAGACCAACACTTGACAGGAACATATGATCTGGGAATCATCCACTCAATCATCAATACCACCTCGGTTCTCCATGTCTCCTTCGCCCCCAGTGCCGACCAACCCTTTCCCGCAATCTTGCCCATGATCGGGGTGATGGGTTCATTTGAATATCCCTCATCCAGCATCGAGGAGCCACTTGACTGTTATCTTCACGGATATGTCAGTTCGAGGATCATGCGCCTTGCCCGAGAGTCACCAGAGGGGTTGCCTGTCTGCATTGCTGCCACCAAAGTCGATGGCTTGGTGTTGGCCTTGACCCCAAATTCTCATAGTTACAACTACCGATCAGCGGTGCTGCAGGGACATGCAAAGCTGGTCGAAACAGACGATGAGAAATTGTATGCGATGCGACTGATCACCAACAAGGTCGTCGACGGTCGATGGGATAACACCAGAATCCCTCCAGACAACGTGGAAATGACCTCGACCACCATTCTGAGAGTCAAGATCGAAACTGGCAGCGGGAAGATCCGACAAGGAGGACCGCACGATGAAGCAAAGGACGAGAACAGAGCCGATATCACTGAAAGAGTCTGGACTGGGGTGGTGCCAGTGTATGAGACTTTCGACACACCAATACCCAGCGCCACCAATAAGGTCAAGGATCTTCCATCGTACCTTGATTCGTACGTGTCCGAGACCAATGCCCACAACAAGGAGTCAGCTCTCAACGCTGTCAAAGAACCCTAAAAGGGCCAACAGTAATGATGATGAAGCAATCTCCTGGGGGGCTTCCAGTGCGAATCGCTGAAACAGGAAACGGATGGTCTGGCCGAGGTCGATCGGGGAAATGGAATCGGTTTTTGTGTTCGCAGAGACCCTGAAGGAAATGCAGCTTCATATAGATAGTCGCACTTTAGTTAGTGACTCCCACATCCTCCGTGCAACATGGGTAGCAGTTTTTCATAACCATGTGCGCCACTTCACCGTCTTTTCGATCTTTGACACAACAATGAAGTGGTGGCGTAGGGCTGCTGCCAGGCAGGAGCTCATAGACTCATTCCAGAGAAATCTCTGAGCCACGTCATTCATCTCGTCGATGCTCATTTTGAACCTCGACAGAAGGATTTTGGTCACGGCGTCGCCCTGCGCAAGCGGACATCCTTCCAATATTTCTTTGGTTGCTGTAACCACACAGCCACCCCATAGAAGACAATCGTTCTCAATCTGCGACCCCCGGGTCATCTTGTGCGAACACTCGAGAAAAGTCTTGGCCATTTCCTCACGGTCCAGTTCGTATGTTGCCGTTTGTAAGTGAAACACCGAGAAGCCCAGCCAGATCAGGCGTTCGATTGGGGGCAACCTTTCACGAAAAGTTTGAGACCGTTCGCGATCTCGGGTTGCCCTTGAAGCGAGGCGGACAATTTGGCCTCTTTCCATGGCCAGCCGTTCGATAACTTGGATGGAAAGAATCCTGCGCAGGGCCAGCTCTCTGAACCCTTCACAGACTCTGGCAAGACGCGCAGAGAGGCTGGGAGAGAACGGGAGCTTTGGGTATACCGGCTCCTCCCCAGCTGACTGTCCCGTGGTCAGGGAAGAGGGGCTGTACTCAGGAAAAATGGTTGGGCTCTTCATCCTGGGTTGAGCGTACGATAAGGCATCGTGACTGGGTTACTAGTCAGCTCTCCGTAGTAGCATCGCCTAGGGCTGGTTTTGAAACACACTCACAAACAAGAAGGACGTTTGGTCGAAGCACGAACATCGCGTTTGCGCAAGTCCTCGTCGTGTTCGAACTGACCCAGATAACGCAGCGCATTGCGGTGCATGTTGAAAGATGCATCATCCTCAAAGTAAGCCTTTCACTGTCTCTCAGCATGTATTACATTGAAGACAGGTAAATGGTTACATACGCAAACCCCGGCCAAATTGGAAATAGCTGCCATTACAGCCTTTCGAGTGGAGCCCGGGACAAGGAGCCGTTCCCTGATCTTTGACAGAGAGCCTCCATAATGGTACAGCATCGCCTTCTTCAACTCGGGCGTGTGTGATAGGTAGGTACAAAGTACCCAAGTGATGACAGCCTCAAATAGAACATCGTGCGTCATAAAGAGCTCGAAAAAGACCTGGCCTGGTGCAACGATCTCCCTACAGTGGTCAATTACAGCAGGGAAATACTCCTGAGACTCAATAGGATATCGTAGGAATGGATCGGCACGCAGACCACCGAGAACGCTGTCGGCAGAGCAAGCCGCAAGGGCTAATGATTCAGCTCGACATTCCCGGCAGCCACAAGGATCCGCTTGGGCATCACCTGAGGATATTGTCTCTGGGGAAGATCCATGTTCGTTTAAGCACAGTGATCCAGGGGGTAGCATGCCTGGGTGGGCACCCTTGTCTCGCTGCGACGCTGGCGTTTTGGTGCTCGCATTGGCTGCAACAGCTTGCTCGAGGTGCAATTGACATTGAGAATTCAGATGGTTTTTTGCAATAGGTCTTGAATTCCGTGATCCCTGTTCAAGAAGATGATTCCTATGGCCCCTAACACGGTCCACCCTGGGAGGCGTTTGTACTCCTGCCGAATAGACTGCTAACCCACGACGCCGTTCATGATTCCTACGCATCGCATGGGCCGTGATCTGACTGAGTTGCCAGCTGGGAACACGTCCAGGTCTGTCGACACTGATGAAATGAACGTCCATTGGCAGTTGGTTGCGCGGAGATGATTCTTCGGTCATGTCGCCACCGCTCTTATTGGTATAACAGATACTCTCAACCATCTTGATCGTTGACCATCTGCGTGTCGCGTATGCGAGGTGGTTTACTTGACAAGATCTTGCAGCCCCCTAAATTTTCAGCCTAAGGCTTCATGTCGAGGACCAGGCGCCGTCGAGGGTTTTCGGATAGAGTCCGTGTCTTTAGACTGAATTGGCATGTCCACTTCGTCGAGTATTATGATGGAGTATGTAAAGCCATCTCTCCGAACGGGATAGGTTCAGTGGGCTGCAAGAAAACCTGGTGTTAAAGAGGACAGGAAATCAGGCTCCAAAGATTGCCACCAGCTCAACCCAGAGCTCGTTCGGGAACTAGAGCTTCCGCATCTGGAAGAGCTTGGGATCTCGTATTAATAGTATTCTTTCGCCCCTGTTCGATTGCGGTGGATTACCCAAGCATCGACTAGCCAGCCCATGCACCCAATGCACGAGCTTGTCGTTGGCTGCGGGCTGGCACTGGACCGGGGAGGGGCGGCCAAATCTAGCTGGATGAGCTAGATGAGATGAGAATGCTAATGTGAGCAATCGTGACGAGACGATGAACCCAAAAGGGCTGGAAAGGCGATTGTGGTAATAGGACATCCATCAGGCAGAATACCTAGATGGGCATTCACTGCACCGTAGGCGTGAAGGACACATACGGCGGGACAACAATTACCAATACCAAGTCCTTGGTACGGGCACCCAGACGGGGCACTGAGTAGCAAGATGGTTGCCCTGCCAACCTCACCTACACAGCGCTTCACCATCTGCCACTCTTCCAGGGCACAACCATTGGCACAACCATTGGCACCGCGGCCGATGACGCGTATTGTTAGTCAAACCTGCGCACCGTACCTGAGCGACCTTGCATCCAAACCACCAATTCCTCCTCCTGACATCGAACCCGAGCCCAGTATTGCCCTGAGATCCTGATATGAGGATTCTGAACCCACAGCGCCAGTTGCATGCCGAAGCCCCGTCGTGAGTCTGCGGCGAGGGCCGACACACGTCCTGCATTCAGTCGCCCCCCAAACTCGCGGCCGACTCCTGCGCCCCGTCAGGCACGGAGTGGAGAAGACGAAGACGACTACTATGAGCCACGAACACCGAAAAGAGCGCCGAAGGAAAAGGCGAAAGCCTCTCCAGTGCCTTCTCCGTCGCCCGAGAAGAAACTGCGCCGACCGAGTGACCGCTACCAGACTTCGAGCGGGGTGAGAGACAGTCCAAAAAGAGAGCAGCGAAAAGATCGAGCAAAGTACAGCTCTGGCGCGTCCACAAACAGCTCGAGTCAGTTGTTGAGCAGCGATGCTCTGGCCAAACTGAATGCGTACAACCAACGAGTGGAGTTTGAAGAAAAGTACGAAGAGCGCAAACGCAACAAGAAGAAACAGAAGCAGTACAAGAACCTCAAGGCAGCAGAGGCGACTCAGCAACGAAAGAAAAAACAAAAAAACAGGAATGTCAGTGGTGCCATATTAGAGGAAGGGAGGGCGGGCGAGAAGCACAGACGCGCGCATGGACGTGGCGGTGGGTATGGCAAAGAATACGAGGTTCACAAGCGATCAGGCACAGACCAGAGGAGGCGGAAGAAGAAATTCTGGTGGCTGTTGATCTTGTTCGTCGTGTTGCTGGCTATCTTCATCCCCGTGGCTGTCGTGGTGAGCAACAATAGCAAGAAATCGGGAGGAGGATCGTCTTCCTCTTCTTCGTCGACGACAACCGGCGGCTCATCAGGCATCAGCAATGACTGCGACTCGAGCTTGATTCCCGAAAGCGCAAAGGGCACCTACACCGATATCTCCACCTGGATGGACACGACGGATTTCAATTGTACATACACCGCCGAGACGGTTGGTGGGTTGTCAGTCATGGGCCTCCACTCGAGTTGGGATGATTCCACCAAAGCCAACGACAACGTCCCTGCTCTGAACGAAAAATGGGAGTATGGAAAGATGCCGATCCGAGGCGTTAACATAGGCGGCTGGCTCTCACTAGAACCCTTCATCACCCCTTCTATGTTCAACTATCCTGCCTCCGCTGCTGTGGTCGACGAATGGACACTGTCCCAGAAGCTTGGGCCGTCATCAGCACAGCGCGTCATTGAGACACACTACGCAACTTTCATCACAAAACAAAGCTTCATTGATATCAAGAATGCAGGCTTGGACCACGTAAGGATACCTTTCCCTTACTGGTCGGTCACAACTTACGATGGCGATCCATACGTGCCCAAGGTTGCCTGGCGATACCTCTTGCGAGCGATCGAGTATTGCCGAGAGAATGGCTTGAGAGTGAACCTCGATCTGCATTCCGTCCCGGGAAGTCAGAATGGATGGGCTCACAGTGGTCACCAGGGAGATATTGGTTGGATCCTGGGCCCTGATGGCGCCACCAATGCCCAGCGGTCACTGGATATCCACAACCAATTGTCCCAGTTCTTTGCTCAGGATCGGTACAAGAACGTGGTGACCATCTATGGTTTAGTCAACGAACCAAAGATGTTGGTAATTCCACCTCAGTCTGTGCTTGACTGGAACCAAAAGGCCATTGCAATCGTGCGAGGGAACGGCATCAAGCAGCGGATCGTCTTCGGTGACGGCTTCCTTAGCCTGGATACCTGGGACGACATGTTCCACGGCGTCGACGACAACCTTGTCATGGATACCCACCAATACCAAATCTTCAACACAGGACAACTGAAGTTGAAACACCAAGACAAGATCAACCTCGCATGTTCAGGCTGGACTGGGTTAATGGTTGCCGCCAATAACCCTCAAACCGGATGGGGTCCAACTCTGGACGGCGAGTGGTCCCAAGCGGATACTGATTGTACACCAAATCTGAACAACGTAGGCGTAGGCTCCAGGTGGGCTGGTACGCTCGACACTGGCGATCCAGAAACATCAGTGCTCACACCCACCTGTGCCGAGCCGCCTTGTTCATGTGCACAAGCCAATGCTGACCCAAGCGAGTACAGCGCTGCTTACAAGCAGTTTCTGCAGATGTACGCCGAGGCCCAAATGCACAGCTTTGAACAGGCCTGGGGCTGGTTCTATTGGACTTGGAAAACCGAGAACGCTGTACAGTGGAGTTGGATGTTGGGCTTGCAGGCTGGTATATTGCCGGAAAAAGCGTACGCCCCATCTTTCAAATGTGATTCTGAAGTCCCTGATTTTGGCGACCTGCCTGAGAGTTATTGATACCATGTGTTGCTGGGATGTGACAGACAGCATGGGAATGGAGTTCTGGGAAGATCGCTGATTTGCTGCGAGGTTGGCATAATGGCAGAAATGTGGATAGGAAAGGCGCTTCGACCATGAAGATGAGGCATGAATGAACATATTACCCAAGAGTCTTACCTGTTCCGGAATCTCCAGATTCACGTCGAGTCTTTGTCCACTTTTGAGGTGTGTTGCGAGTGTCTCTTTGTCGTAAGGTTGGCACTTTCGTATATAACAAAGCAAGGACCCTCGTGCGACATGGTACTCAACCACCATACATCCTCATTCCTGTTTCCTTTCACTTACCTTTGAACATGTCTCACTTCCACCTTGACTAGGATCATTCACTTGTGTTGCTATCGTGCTGAGCCTGTGAAAAGGAAGCCTCAAGCGTCGACTTCACTGCAACCCTGGTCGAAAGCACGTTTTGTTGCTGACTCTCGTTCGTCTTCACGCACTGTCTTCACGTGCAGGTGATTGCCGCACCATATTTCATTGTTGATTTCGAGTCGATTGAAATGGCGCACATCGCAGTACCACCACTACCACCTCCACGACGTCAGAGCATAACTAGGTCACCACGACGACGATACCGTCGTCGATAACAAGCAAACACCCCAACAGCAGCGCAACACCCACGAGCTTTTCATTGGCGAGAAATTCCGATACAATGAGGGAGTATCATCGACACCCCTTTGATCCTGGTATCCCACTGGCATACCAGGGTCTAGATGATGGCAGTATCAATCAACCAGAGGATCGCGTCAGTGAGATTGATCTTGCCCGTGCACAACTCCATATTGGCGGCAGCCGCTCCGGATGGGAAGAAGCCGTGTCATTTCCTTTTCCAGAACATCCGCAGTCACCAAGTCACCAAAGCATCAGATACAAGCCGCAACCAGAGTCGGTTGTCAATAGTCCTTTTCGCCCGCGTCTGAATACTTTTGCGCCACACGCTCAGTGGTCCCCTGGTATCGGTGCATCACCCGTTTTTGCGGCCTTCGTTGACCCCGAGGACAGTGATCGAGGGTCAGTAGTGGTGGAGAATTTCCAGCATGGTATTCCGTTTGAAGATGGCCATTTTCCAAGTGTCATGCAGGATCATGGAGTTGCTGGACTCAAACTGCCGCCAATTCGCAGCGACTCTGGCCATCAAGATACTCAGCTTCCAGGTAAGTTGTTGGTCCACAAAGACTTTGATAAACCACAAGCTGATACGACAACAGGCATTCATCAAATTCTTGGTCTCCCCATGACCCACCAGAAAACTGCCTCAGTTCATTGTCGCAAACACCAAGAGGGCCCGTTGTTGAAAGCAGAGACATTGTTTGTGGATGGGCGTTCAAAGCGAACACACAAGCGCGGGAGAGGATCGTTTGAGGCACCGGATGCCCCAGATAAAGCTGGCCTTGTATGCCGTTCAACACCAGCATTCTTCAACCAGATGTCTCCCACGCAAGATATGATGCAGTCCAACGATATGGAACCATCACCACCAAAGCGACCATATCGTTTGCCCCGCGGGATGTTCGGAATACCTTGTCATCCCCCAGGAGTCTCTCCGCCACCCAAGACTCCGGTAGCAGAACCCCAAGGAGTCCCTTTGCCTCCCAAGACCTCGATAGCAGAATCCGCACCAGGCAACATCCAGCCGGCACAGAGCCCGAGAGATATCGGGGCGAATTCGCAAGCAAAGCTGATTGTGAAATTGGCATCGAGGTCGGCATCCCGTATCACTCAGAGACCCCACGAAGTCTTCAGCGAAGAGCAGTGCCAAAAGATGTTGTGGCTTGCCCTTCATGGAGTATCACGTCCGACTATTGCGCGACTGCTGTACAATGACGTCGACAAATCCAAACCATTTTCCAACAAGACCGAGCTTGTGGCTGGCATTGATAAGTTGGTACGGCTCTTCATCGCCGAGCTTGCGTTGGACCAAGATAGAAGGGGAGTTGACGACATGGTTGAGCATCTGCTGCAAGAGGGAGATCGCCTGGACTGGAGTCCGTATCTACTGCGGCAAGCAGTTGGTGTCATGAGTACTTCTGGAGATGAGGCCACCCAAAGTCAAGAGGTTCGAGAGGTCGCTTTGGAGCGTCACGCACTCTCTAAGTGGCGAAGCACTCATGGTGGCGAGAATCCGTTTCAACCCAGCCTGGGCAGCACGCGTCGAAATCAGTTGCAGGCATTCCGAGGATTGATGAGAGAATCAGTGGAGCAAGAAATGATGGAACAGCTTGGATACCAAGAGGACAATCATGACATGGAGAGAGCACTGATGAAGAAGTGGTTGCTCAAGATTCGCGAACTCGGCAAGCTCCCTGACCGTCTGATGGAGGCTGGACTCGGAGCGCACAGCTCAAGTCCAGGAGACGCTGACGAGTTCGGTGATAGCAAGATGCCATCGTGACAGGATGGTGAAGCAAGAGCTGGCGACGTATGGTTCTGTCAACCCCTGAGTCGCTGTCCGTCTGGAGCTGATAGCATTGAAAGAGGGGCTACTCAGGATCTGAAGCTTCTGGGATACCATGTGGCTGTGACTTGTTCGTGTTTCTTCTAACCTTTCTGAGGCACAGGCACAAGTTGGATTCTAAGCGATGACCTCAAGGAAGATTGAGTCACTGCTCAAGAAACCGAGTCGGTGTTGTGAGCTGGAGGATTGCAGATTGGAGGAGTCGCTTGCCAGCAGGTTCATAATAGCGTAACATCCCGAGTGATCAATACAGAAGAAAGTGGAATTGATGAAACTCGACTTGCGCAGGTCGGTTCACATGGGGTCTTTCTTTGACTCTGATTGGATAGCCTCGTCTCGTGCAGCCTTGTTCCGATTTCTAGTGCAACGTACTCAGTACGAGGTACAGCCCGAACCACCATCAGAAAACAGACTCTCATTATTGATCATCACTACTTTATCGCAGAGCTAGAAAAAGGCAGCAAGGAAGTCGCAGGTCCCCATCAATTGATGTCTTGACTACATTTACAACATTTGAACGAAAGTCGGTTTGCTCCGCCGCCATGTCATCCTCCTCGCACCCGTCGAGGGCATTGCCTCAAGGTCACGGCAAGCAGCCTGACAACAGCCCCGACCCGTCCACAAAGGCCGCAGACAACGACAACGACGATGCCAGTAACGGCGAAGACGACGCTGGCCCTGGAGGCGATCTCCCCATGAGCATGACCGCTTCCGTCATGTTAACCAACTTGCCCAAGGATGCGAGCCAGGCTCTCAGGGAGGTCGAAGAGATTGATGATCGAAAAGGTACATTTTCTTCCACGAACCACAGAGACTTGATCTCCGCGCACATATCACTGGTGTTTTCTCAAATTCTAATCTATGCGGATGTTCTGTGTGCATGTAAAAAACAGTCTCTGTCCGCTTCCAACCCGTTGGCGCGGCCCCGATCCTCAAACAGCGCGTCTTCAAAATCAGTGCCTCGTCGAAATTCAGCGTCGTGTTGAACTTCCTCAGGAAGAAGGTCGGCGTCAAAGAGGGTGACGGCCTGTTTTGCTATGTGAATAGTGTGTTCGCACCGGGTTTGGATGAGGGCGTGGGGAACTTGTACCGGGTACGTTTGCGCCTCTACTAGCACCCCTTGTCCGCTCTTCGTGGAGTTGCTTCCGTCGTTCACAGGAGGGGGATGCTCTGCTTGGCTTGCCTCCCACTCGACTCTGATGTGCTGGTGTTACGCTACATTCTCTGGCACTGTGAATTGAATCTGCTAATAAAATCGCAAGAGGAGATCATGCTAACCACAGTCCTTGTTTATCAAAACTAGTGTTTCAAGGTGGATGACCAATTGATCGTCAGCTATTCTACAACGCCAGCTTTTGGATGAGCCTAGGCCCGTCCCAGCTCTGTTTTGACCAAACGATGTGCGCTTGCTTGAGGATGAGCCCAACAACACCGAAAATATGCCATGGCAAAGATCAAAGCAACGCCGAGGGTATCAAGCCTTCTGCTCCTCTGCAGATTGAATGGCCACCTTAAACGCCTCCGTAACTTTTGCATCACTCTTGTACACATGCGACGGACCGGGATAACTTCGATCACCGACCTCATCCTTGTACTGTTTGATGGCGTCCAGTCCAGCTTCCCATATCGAACCATACTTTTTGACGAACTTGGGCATGAAACTATCAGGCGGGCGAACGCCGAGCATGTCAATCTGCACCAGAACCTGTCCACTTGTTTTGTTGCCTGCACCGATGCCGATGGTGGGTATTCTGAGGGCCTTGGTAACTTCCTCAGCGATATCGGGCGGTACACATTCCAACACGACCACGAAAGCTCCTGCCTCCTCCACAGCCTTTGCATCTTTGAGCAGAGACATTGCTTTCTCCAGTGTATTGCCTTGTACGCGGAAGCCTCCAAGAGCATGCTGACGTTGCGGGGTGAGGCCGATGTGTGCACAAACTGGAATGCCGGCGCTTGTGATCTTCTTAATTGCGGGTGCCATCTCGACTCCCCCTTCAAGTTTGACACTTTGCATGCGTCCTTCTTTGATCATTCGAATCGCACTGGCTAGAGCCTGTTCCGGGCTGAGTTCATACGAACCCATGGGCAGATCGCCGACGGTAAAGGACCGGGTTACCGCTCGACTGACTGCGCGGGCTGACACGATCATTTCGTCGAGGGTGACTTCGGACGTGTCTTGCATGCCCAAGGACACCATAGCAAGGGAATCGCCGACCAAGATCATATCCATTCCAGCTTCTTGTGCCATGAGTGCCGAAGGGAAATTGTGGGCAGTCAACATCGTGATGGGTTTGTCCTCAGCATACATTTTCTGGAGGGTTTGGATGGTGACTGGCTTCTGGCCTCTAGCCAGCAAGGCTGGGGACGAGGGGGCATGCGAGCTCCAGCGAACTTGTCGCCACTGTCGGTGAGATTGGGGAACAGCTGGGCGACAGATGTCGCGGAGAAGTGGTCGTGTGAGAGACACAATTCGATTGATGCGGACGATGGAAGCCATTTTTGTTCACCCGAGCCCAAAAATAAGTAGATACGAAGGAGGAGGGGGGACAGAATGAAAGAGTAGTCTCAAACTGTTGTGACACATATTACAGAACTGAACGCGGTGGCGGTGAAAAATGAGGTTTTATTCACTGTTGTCGTGATGAATTCTTTATGCGTAGATCTGAGAAAAGGTCTGGAGGAGAAGATGAGCCTCGGTGTCGATGGTGCAGGGCCGAGCAGGAAGCGTACTCTGGGGGTTAGTGAGATCAACAGGGGTTCCTGTTGGTTGTAGCTAGGTAGCCTAATACCTATAAAGTTTAGAGGGACAGGTCTTCCGGGGGCACTCCTGGGCACCAGTTGGGGCGAGAATGTGATTCTGGTCCTCTGGCGTCACTCAACCACTTCGGCTGCCGACCGCTGCACACCTCCCTTTTGCCATCCATGATAATTAACGGCCGAACGAGGGTATGTCCCGGCTGGCGCTCTACTTTGCCTCGGAAGCAGTCGAGTCTGTCCCTCCAACCCCAGAATAAGTTATTATCAGCCTGGCGAGAGTGACTGCAAGGCTGTCATGCATCTGTTGTAAGTCCATATTTGGCTTCGCCGAGACTGCACTGTCCTGCCTTGGTAGCTAGCACCTCGGGACTTGAGCTGTGGCACATACGAGGGAGCGAGTTCGCAGACCAGCTGACTCCCCAACCATTGGCTTTGGGACCAAGGAGTGGGTATGAGTTCCTTTGTCACGCTGCTCCCAGCGCATGGTTGAGGGCGTGGACATGCCCACTACGCCAGACTGCGCTCTGAACCAGTTGGGCCTTGACAAATCAGTCAAGCCTCCCCACCATTGCCCTTGCCATCGAACCATCTCCAACCACAGCGAAATACTCCTCACCAAACCGCGACCAACTTCAAGCGGTATCGACATACCTCATACTCTTAACTCCTTGCTCTCACTCTTCCTAGTTTTGCGGCCTTCCACTGCGGTCTCTGCCACTGTCCTGTTTCTTCACCTCCAAACAAGCGCTTCACTATCTGTTAGCCTAATCACGACTCTTGTGAGACGCCCCCTCCTTCAGGAAGACAACGGAAAAAGCCGAGTCCAGTCCGCGACAGAATATCCGATCATCCCCTCGTGATCCTGCCTTTTCCGATCGTGCTTCTACAGCCCGCCACCCCTAGATCTGATAGACATTCCTCCCAAGGCATCGAGACACAGACCCGATCCATCGCGCCCCTCTCTCGACCATAAACAGATCGCCCAAGTGCCTGATATTCTTGTGGACAGAGCCTACGTCCTAGCGGAATCTTCGGTTGACGAGGCACAATGAGTAGCCCGAAGCGGAGGATAGAGACCGATGTCATGAAGCTGATGATGAGCGACTACGAGGTCACACTGGTCAACGACAACATGCAAGAATTCTTCGTCATATTCAAAGGGCCTTCGGAAAGTAAGAGCATGAACTTCCCTCGTCAAAGCGCTCAGGTTATCATATTGCTACAAGATTGAGGGCCACTGACGAAACGATGTATGTACAGCACCCTTTGCCGAGGGCAAATGGAAAGTTCACGTCGAACTGCCAGATCAGTATCCCTACAAATCGCCTTCCATCGGCTTCGTTAACAAGATTTTCCATCCAAACATTGACGAGGGGTTAGTCATTTGATGCTGGGAACTCCGATGCAAGCAAGTGGTTCTGATATGGTTTCCTAGGTCGGGATCAGTGTGCCTGGACGTCATCAATCAGACATGGTCACCCATGTTCGATATGATAAATATCTTCGAAGTCTTCTTGCCTCAGCTCCTGCGATACCCTAATCCTACCGATCCATTGAACGGAGAAGCCGCTGCACTACTGATGCGAGAACCTCGAAGCTACGATGCCAGGGTCAAAGGTGAGATGCACATTCCGCAGGACAAACAAAAGGAGGAGTATATTAACTGCTATGAAGAGTACATTGCGCAGTATGCTACGAATATCCACGATGACCACGACGAGGACGAACATGAAACGGACGGAGAATTGAGCGAGGTGGAAGATTTCAACAGCGATGGAGAGGATGAGCCAGCTGGTACCATGGAGGATGTTTGACTTTGGAGTCTTGGTGACCTGGAGTTCTGTTGCCATTTGGAGTATACTGGGCGCTACTGGGTGAACGAGGAACAAACAGCGATATGTGATGGGTTGGGTTGATTCTATTTCAAGTTGCGAGCTCCCTCTGAAGTTTTGACAGACTCAACTGGCTGTAAAAGCTGTTGCCCTACTAGAGCTGCTTTCGTCTTGAACAACACCATGTCGCGTGGCCCGTAGACACAGCAAGCCGACTGGCTGTGGAGCTACAGAGGATCTGTGGAGCGCTCATTGGGGTTAACACAGTCTGAGCCTAGAAAGAGAGGTCATTTAGTTGCGAAGAGTACGACCAGCACACGTCTCGCCTCAAGACCCATGATGGATGTTCACAAGACGGTTGACGCCGTGGTGGTTCTGGCGTGTCTGGGCAGTCAGACCGAACTGAGTTGCGGGCGCATCCATCTCTGCAGCAGCTCCTGCGTCATCGTCTGGGGGCTCGGTTCTCCTAAGGCAAAGTGACGTGTTTTCCCGGCCACGCGACCTCTTTACTCCGTACCCGCTAGTCCTACTCACACCAACCTTGTCGCAAGGTGCACTTGTCCCAGGTTGCCAGGCAAGCCAGGTAAGTTAAAGCCTGAAACACTCCGCCTGCGGGGCCTAGCATCTCATCGCATTTCTCCATCTTCAGGACGACTTCACCCTCTCATTTCGAGGTCAATTTCCGGACGATTAAACCACTGTCCCCCGATCATGTTATTGCTATCTCTCGAGTGTTTACCCCCAGAAGTTCTCCTCCGCATCCTCTTCTTCCTGGAGATCCCCGACCTGCTCCAAGTGAGTCGCACATGCCACACGCTGCGCGAGATTGCTTGCGACCCTCTGCTTCACCTCGAGCGACTGCATCACGTCTCCTATACCCTATCCACCCTGCTAGCCCGGCGGCCGTCCAAGTCAGCCATTAGTCCTCCCAATTCTTGGATCTGGCTCAGCAGGACCAATGTTCTCTCGCGGCAAATCAGCAAGAGTTTGATTCGCATACGCCTGAGCCATAACCTCGAACACAGACCCAGTCCGTTTGACCTGGTACAGAGGGCCATCCTCCCGTCTACATGCACCAGTTATTCCTCGCCGGTTTCGCCGGTCCTGATACAGTCACAGCAGGCGGTCCAAAGGAGCAAATTAAAAGATGGACTGTGTCGCAAACTAGAGCGCCGCCCGAGCATGAACAGTCTGGTGTCACTTAACATCATGCCTGAAGAGTGCGTCCGACAAAGTGTCTCGCCTGCCATCGTGGCTACGAGGCGCAAAGTGATTAGAGAGAGCTTGAAGGATGGGCTTCGTGCGTGGGTTGAAGGGCGCGCCCTACAGGCACAAAAAAGGAAAGCAGACGAGATGGATGCAACGGAGAAGACTACAGTAAAGAGCCTGGTGAGGAGGTTCGCCGCAAGAAAGGTTGCTGTGGACTTGGAATGCAGGCGGGTAAGTCGTCTCGATCCAGTGATCGCAGAGAAAAGGAGGGCACAAGCGAAATGGGGCAGGGAGGTAGAGCTTGCAAAGAAGGATGAAGAACGGCGAGCTGCTACCAACGGTGCCTGTGCCCAGCCGACGAGAGCGCATGTCCTGGGGCTCAAAAAGTTCTGGGAAGGAGTTATCAGGGCGGCTGCTGGATGAGTGATGCATTCTTTTTACTGAGTTTGATGAGTGTCTTGAGCATTTGGTGGTGGTTCAACAGGTCTATACCCAGGGTGATGTTGGCGCTTGATTGTTTTGTTACCTTTCAACGAAGCCGGCATTTTACACACATAAGATCCATGGTGCGCATATTTATCAGCCTCTCCTTATGATTAGTGGTCCATGCAACCTCGAGAATCTTGTCACGGTAGGGCAGATTCAGGCCCAGCTCAGCGCACACAGGACGAATCATCTCACTCGACCTGCGTCGCCACTTGTTCAGCGGGAGACGCAGTATACTTGTACACAGCGCTTCCTCGTATGCCGCGGGTTGCGAGCCGACCCATCACCCCACATCTCGAGGACTTTCCCCTTCCCTCATGAATTGCGCGTAGCTGCGGCCGAGAGCGCGGACGGGCCAGCAGGGCTGAGCTGGTTGGTCCGTGTCACCAAATGACGAGAGATATGCAGAAGGTGAGGCGCATTGAGTGGTTATGTTGTGGCCCGAGCGACACGACCGAGAGACTTAGACTGTACTCGGTACAATGGGTCAACTATCAAAGAGCTGGGCTCTGTTGACAAGCGCCTTGCTGTGTTCATTTCCGTGGGCTGGATGGCGAATACTGACAGCGAGCCTGGGCCCTGAACGAACGGGGGAATGGGGGATGGATGGCCGTATTGGGAAACTGGAACATGTTCCTGCGATACCCAAACGAGTTGGTGTGAGTCACTTGCGAGAGGTGGTCTAGACTCTAGACCTGTGGTGGTGTGGGCGGTGAGTGGTGGTGTTACTCGCTTATGATCGGATTTGCTTGGCCTGCGTAGGTACGGGGCGAGGGGCTCTGGAGAGACACGAGAGATTAACGAGTTTTACGACTTGGATGCTTCCTCACAGTCGAGCTCTGCGTGATATAAATACTGGGGAAATACGAGCAGATCACACAATGGACACATTCATACTTGATTTGCAGACACCGTCAAGGGTTCTATATAGAACTCGCACCCATTCGAAAGGGTTTATTTCCCTACAGTTCTCAAAACACACATTTAGTCCTCAGTATCTGAGTTACTCTCCTACCCACCACCTCTACAAACTTTCACGACCTTGATGCCGCTGGGCGGTGGCACTGGTACCACTACCACCACTACTACTATCACAAGGACTACTATGGATGCCGAATCGAGTCAAATCGGCGTCCGCAATACTGCCACACTCGGGGAACAGATTGCCAGTAATAACAACACCGGAAAAGATATCGTTGACTCTTCCTCTGCGACCGACGAGTACGACGAGTCTGATGGCGACTACGAATTCGAAGAGGACGTCGACGATTTCAACGAGGCAAAGTGTTTATTCTGCAACCAGGAGAGCCCAGACCTCGACCAGAATTTGGCCCACATGTTAAAAGTCCACGGCTTGTACATCGACCCGGCGCATCTGCTGGTAGATGTCGAGACCCTCCTCGCATACTTCCATCTCATCATCTCCGGACGGCACGAGTGTCTCTATTGTGGGACGCAAAGGAACACTCTCGAGGCGGTGCAGCAGCACATGATGGCCAAAGGGCATTGCAAATACGACATTGGGGATGAGGATGCCGAGCTCAGAGAGCTGTTTGACGACTCATTGCCGCATGCAAAAGAGGACCTACTCCGACATCTCCACGCCATGCACGGGCCCGATGACACCCACCTTCCATCGCAAGTCAGATCGAGGAAACGACGGCCATCAAAACGGCCCGACAAACACGGCCTCGACATCACAGCCTCTACGCCCGACCAAGTACCACCGACTTCGACTTCGACTTCGCAGTCAAACACTGATGCCGAGCCAGCCTCGAATGCTAACCGCACACCTTCTCCTTCCCAGGGCGCATTGAGCACAAGAGCACTGAAGCAAGAATGCACACTCAACAACCAACTCGCGCAACTCCGAGCAGGTGACCGGAGAAGTCTACTACACTTACCGCCTTCGCAACAGAGGGCATTGTTGGCGACCCATCACAAACAGACGGAGAAGGCGAGGAGGACGGAGCAAATCAGTCAAAGCAACTTGGAGAGCGTAGGCAACAAGGTCAATTGCCTGGGAAAAATCAGATTGGTACGGAAACCTCCTCACACCGGCAATATCTTCAGCCTGAATCGGTGAGTTCGATGAGAGCTTCCGGCATGCCAGGTGCGAAGGACATTTGGCACGTATCGGCCGAGACAACTATTAGCTAGAGGTGGGAAGAACCCAAGATCGTGGATCAAGGATGGTCTAGATGGAGAGAAGAATCACTTGTTGATGCAGCAATCCGTCATCGAAAGAATCCTTGGCCAGGCAGCCACTGAGCGCCGTCTGATCCGGTCCGCCGAGCGAGTTTGGCCTTTGAACGGCCTATCGTTCTTGACACTGGTTTCCACAACCTGGAGACAGACGACAGGAGGAAGAGGTCGAGATCATTTTGCGGTTTCTTAGACCAAGAAATGCGGCAAGGCATACGACCTTGAAGGAGAGACCAACGGCCAAGGGGAGGAATACAAGGTATCGAGGCATCGGTCTTGATCCGAACCAGTTTTGGCGGTCAAACAGGTAACTAGGTCAAACATGCGGCGACAATGGGAAACGGTACTCTGGGAGCATATGGTGAACGCGTCCATGAGCTACGTGTAAAGCGATGTAAAGGACTAGGACGTATGAGAGGAACAGATAGTTCATGCGGAATTGTGTCTGCTTTCTCGTTATAACGCTCGAGAAACCACAAGTCCCGGCTCCTAACTCTCCTCAAGATACTCTCATACGATGACGGAGTATTTGTAGGTGTGCCTTGGCTCGGAAAGTTACCCCAGAAACCAACCATCACAGCCTTGCATATGATGTCAACAGCACGAACAACAAATTCCCACCTCTCAATCTACATGGATGACCTGACTTTGGGGGACACACGGTAGATCTCTTTATGCTATTGCCTACGCCGCCTCTAGAAACCACCAATGTCAATAAAGGTTGGGCTCTTTCACGGCTGACGAATGACTTTCAAGCAACAAGCAAATAAACCTGCGCGCCCCTCAGTGTTGATAAAACACATCCAACCGACTTATCATCCTCAACGCCCCGCCAAACGCTGAATGACCCGAACCTTTGGTTATCGAAACCTCCGCCAGACGGGGTTGATATTTTGCATGCTCTAGACCCCGCTAAGGATCGATCACTCTGGTTGCCTGGACAACCTCTGCCTAACGCCTGCCTGCGGCCTTGCCAGCTCAAACCACCATCTCAAGACCTGCGTCACGACTATATATCCCAAAATCTGTGAGCGGAGCGAGCCAGCCCTATGATACACCTGCAGCTGTGACAAGACGGACGCCACAATACTTCGATTTTACATTCCACCTTCCGACCAGCGTCGAGATGGTGCGGGAACAGCAAGCCCCTCGCAACCCGCTCGCCCCAGCCATGGGTAACTCGCAGCCTGCCCCAGATCTTCAGAACAAAGAAAAGATACCCGACAGCAATGCACCTCTGACTGCGCAGCCTCTGTATCCAGATCTCAAGAATGCCCTGGCAGAGCAACCTCAGTTTGGGAGGCCATCAATGCCTGGAGCATCGCCACAGCCATACGCAAGATCCCAACCACTCATGCGACCGGGCGCGAGTGCCAATACGTCAGCTCCACGCCAGGTGAGCGGGAGTCAGCAACAAGACAAATATTCAAACCTTTTCGTGTCGGCGAAGAGACCTGTACAAAGACCAGAGCTACACAAACCTCATGTCGTCGCAAATCCTCTGCAAGCGCTCAACGGACGGGCCACCGGACAGCCTCCTAGACCCAGCTCTTCTCGACCGTCTGATGGGGACGATGATTTCTATGAGATCGCCCAACCTGCAAACTTCCCTGCCTGGAAGCCACCCACGGTTGTCGCTCCCACCTTTTCGTCCCAACAGCCTCCAAATCCATACTTTCGCCCGACTGCGATAGATTTGACTCAGGATAGGCCCACGTTTACCCGTCCAGCGGCCCCCGCGAACAACACTTTCTTTCGAGCCGACCACTATGAAATGGCCGACCCGTCCACGTACATGAATTCCTCCCAGGCGAATGAAAGCATCAAAGCTCTACTTGAAGGTGCGTTTGAGGACGAAGAGGACAAACCGAGGACCAGGCGGAGAAAGAAGGAGCTGGACAAGAAGGTGGCCGATCTGGCAGATATGGTCAAAGACATGTCGGTCAAAAGTACAGACAAGAGCGAACCATCACAAGAGGAGGCGGATGAAGGAGAAGAAGACGACGGTGTCGTCCCGGGGTTGAAAGTAAAGCTCTTACCACATCAAATTGACGGTGTCGACTGGATGGTCAGCAAGGAAACCGGCAAGAATAGGACTTACGGCGGTATTCTGGCGGATGATATGGGTCTGGGAAAGACGATACAGTCGATCGCTCTCATTCTTAGTAACCCGAAGCCCAGTGCTGAAGAATTGGAAAAGAGCAAGCGAAAGTTGCCGGACAGCGTCGCCAAAGGCACCCTTGTCGTCGCTCCCCTCGCGCTGATTAGACAGTGGGAAGGAGAGCTGAAGGATCGCATCGACGAAGACCACGCCCTCAAAATCTGCGTGCATCATGGCCCTCAGAGAACTAAAAGCTACAAAGACCTGAAGAAGTACGATATTGTCATCACAACCTACCAGACGCTGTCATCAGAACATGCAGGGTGTTCAGAGTCCCTCAAAGTGGGATGCTTCGGGGTCCACTGGTATAGGATCATTCTAGATGAGGCACACTCCATCAAGAACCGCAATGCGAAAGCCTCCAAGGCGGCATGTGCTCTCGATGCTGCATACCGCTGGTGTCTGACTGGAACTCCGATGCAGAACGGTCTTGACGAGCTCCAAAGTCTCATCCACTTCCTCCGCATCAAGCCTTACTGTGACCTCAATGAGTGGCGCGAGAATATCACCAAACCCATGAATAATGGAAAGGGCGGTCTTGCGGTTAAGAGACTGAGACTCATCCTGAAAAGCTTCATGAAGCGGAGAATGAAGGATATTCTCAAACAGGAGCACTCAAACGAAGGCGGTAAAGGAGGTTCAGCCGAAGGAGGCAAAGATCCTGGGTTCAAGATCGTCGGACGAACTGTTCATAATGTTGAAGCAGATTTTACAGACCAAGAGCGAGAGTTCTACAAACGTCTGGAGTCCAGGACAGATCGGAGTCTTGAGATGATGATGGCGGGGAACAAGATGAGTTATGCGTCGGCATTGGTCCTTCTTATGCGACTTCGACAAGCGTGCAATCATCCAAAGCTCACCGGAAGCGACTTGAGTACCGAGACTGATGCATCAACTGGCATGCAGACACCAAGTCGCAGAAAGGCGAGTACGGAAGACGACATGGACAGTATTGCGAACATGCTCGGTGGCCTTAGTATGGAGACCAAGAGGTGCGATATGTGTCAGATCGAGTTGACATCGAGAGAGACTGCTAAAGGCGCGATCCGATGTCCTGAGTGCCAAGAGGATCTCGACAAGCAGACGGATTATGTGAATGAGATGAAGAAGACGAAGAAGGAGAAACGACAGAAGCAAGAGCAGAAGACGGTCAGAAGTCAGCGAAAACAAGCGAGGCGCGTTGTGGATGACAGCGATGATGAGGATGATGATGAGGACGAGAAGCACGAAGACGAAGAAGAGGCCTCCTCTGACGGCGAAGAAGATGAGGACGACGACGAATACTCCTCATCCGACGACTCTAGCGATGCAGCACCCACGGTTCTCCAGTCCACCAAAATCCGACAGCTCCTCTCCATTCTCCGCGAGGACTCCCACACTCACAAATACATAGTCTTCTCCTTCTTCACGTCCATGCTCGATTTGATCGAACCATTTCTCCGCTCAAATCGGATTCACTATGTCCGGTATGACGGAAAGATGCGTAACGACGCACGCGAGGCGTCTCTCAACGCTCTCCGCAAGGATCCTTCTACACGCGTCCTCCTCTGTTCTCTCCGCGCGGGAAGCTTGGGATTAAACCTGACCGCGGCGTCGAGGGTGGTGATATTGGAGCCGTTCTGGAATCCCTTTGTGGAAGAACAGGCGATAGATCGAGTGCATCGACTGAACCAGACTCAAGACGTCAAAGTGTACAAGATCACCATCAAGGGAACGGTAGAGGAACGAATCCTAGAGTTACAGGAGAAGAAGCGCGAACTAGCCAAGGCAACCATCGAGGGCCAGGGCAAGAAGGGCGCAATGAGACTGAACATGCAGGATATGTTGAAGCTGTTTGGGCGGGAGGCGGAGTCGGAACACCCCGTGGATGTGGAGGAAGTTGGGATGGGAAAAGGCCGGTCGAGGGGATTGCTAGATGCGAGCCGAGACACGTCTTCGCTATCCAATTCGTCGCAGGCTGCAAGCGAATATGGGTCCTTGGGAGGGACGAGTGGCAGCGCAGGCGACCGACGCGAGAAGACGCGTGTGAGCGATAGCAAGAAGAAGACGTGGAAGGAGCACGAAGTCTATGGCCGGAGGTGGTAGATCCTCATACGCCGTCCACAAGCTTGTCATCATGAATCTCGGGTGGTTTTTGTTGGGCATTCATTGCATTGTATTGCATCGCACTTCTTTTTGCAAAGAGTCAGTCAGGATATGAGTTGGTTCCAGATACCCCCAGGGAGGGGAGGATGACACGACCATGAGTGAGGCATGGATGGAGCGCATGGGGCAATCAAGGGGATGTATGTATGTATCGAGTATGGAAGACCGAGAAATGGCACGGTCGGAAAGAGATGATTTTGAGTACTGCTACAAGTAATTACAAGTACCTAAATACCCGCTTGTGGTACCTACCGGGGAATACCCTCGTTGCCTTTTACTCGCATTACTGTGCACAACGCTGCATATTTGGGTACTTGGTACTTGGTACGAGTACTCCTAGTACCCAGTACCAACCTACCTAATAGTCATACTTACGTACATACATACATAGGTACGTACGGAGGTCTAACACACACCTACCTACCTCCCTGATCTATGTATGTACTACCTGACTAACTAGCCATGTCCTCCTTGCTGTGCAAGCCAGGGACGTACCCTGGTAGTCCATGGGTACTGTACATACGAGGTACAAGGTAGATAATTTCCTACCTATGTAGGTTAGGTACCTGGGTACGCAGGGGACGGTCATCCGGTTCAGTTCGGTTCGGCATTCAGAAGACAGAGAGAGCGCGTCTGCGTCTACATCTTGACTCAAATCTGCAGACACCTCTGGCTCTGGTTCTGCAAACCTCTGCTTTCGGTCGTGGGGTTTTGAATCGGACTGAACTGAATTTGATGGACTGGACTGGCCTGGACCAAATGGACCAGAGAAGGACCATAAGTGGCGGTGAACACGGGAGACACTGACTGACAGGTTGATTGACGCAAAGGGAGGTTGATGGATGTCTGTCTCCCTAGCGAGCTAGGTACCTGTCCCTGTACCCATGGTCTACGAGGTACGGTGACTTCGAACGCGACCACACTCCCACACCACCTCTGAAGTCAGATTTCCCAATGTCATTGGATTCATGGCTCTCAAATTGCAAGCTGGGGAATTGCTGTAAACGGACACTAGTGGTGCGACCTGTCTTGGGAGAATAAACACTTGATGCTATGTATGCAAGTCTTGCGAGGCTGAGACTTCTTGGGGGATGTTCCCTTTCTTGGGGGGGTTTTCTTCGCAATGAGGTTCTTGTTCTCTTCGATTGACGGCGGTTTAGTACATCACCCTTGCGGTGCCATGGGAGAACATTCAGCTCGGCAAGGTCATGGTCGTGGTGGTGACGCAAAGTGATCCCCTTTCTGACTCTCTGTCTGGTCAGCAAGAATAGTACGGGATGGCCGGAAGAACAGAGCGTCCCATTGGGTAACAACCCAGGCTCCCGTCGGATTCATGCGATTTGTAGTGGGACTCGAGCTGAACTTGACGTGCAGGTGGACATGGCCGGAAACTGCCTGTCCAAGGCTGGACACCTTACGAGTACACGTAAAGTCCAGTACTGAAGAGAACGTCGATTGGTTAGGAAAGAATGGAAGTGAATGCTCGTGGAGGCTGAAAAAATGGAGTACCAGGTGAAACTCCAATGTGTACGAGTACTAGGTACCGAGTACTTGGTACGTAACCCAATACCTTTGTAAATTGGTAGACGTGGAGAGAGGCCATGGAAGATCGACAGGAATAACTAGAACCCGGCCAGTCTCAGATCATTTCTCTCCATACTCAGACACTCCGAAGCCCCTGGGACTCGGTAAACAGAGCGCTGATCCATCACCCAGGTCTTCTAGTGTTGAATGGGCCATGCTGTTCTCATACGGCAAACGCGTGGTACTGATAGTGGACAGTGCATACGAGTACAGAGCGACATGCAGTGTACAAGTCCGAGGGAGTGCCTGTGGATGGAAAGTCTGTCAAGCCAAGGGTTGGCAAGACGTGCGCTGCATCCTCGAGAGCTCTCCAAGTGGTCGCCTAGTTTGGAAATAATGGTACCTAGTGTCGGTGGGCTTTCGGGCGACTGAGGCTTTGGTGATGGCTGACAAGGTGCTAAGGGAAAAGTTTACCGGGCTGGACTTTTGACCGAACCAATGCGGACGCAAGCTGTTGTTTCACAGCCAGGGTCAGCTGCAGCAGCAACGTGGCAGCCACCTTTTGAGACCAAGCCGCCAGTTGCAGCAGCCCGGACAAGGGGGTGCGCCAGTCAGGACTGAGGACTCTGCAGAGAGAGGCCCGCCCACCTCTCGCATGTTTCCCTCGTGGCTCTTTTTCTTAATGTTTCTGGAAAAAACCCAATTCCTCGGTTTGTCTCGGATAGGCGCAAGATGGCGGGATCGAAGGCTAAAAGGGTGCCAGGCTCTGCCAAAGGTAAAATATCTTGATACCAACAGACAATCCACGGTCGACGTTCGAGTTAGTCAGGCCAGTCGCCGGTGACTCGATAGTACGTGGTCTAGTGATTGATAGCCCTAATCAAAAGCAAACCCCCAGAGAAAGGGGTAGGGCCTTGGAAAGATGAAACGTGGTCAGCCATGGTCGCAGCTTGCACCAACTGCGCCTAGCTCGTTTGGGGCCAAGTGCGCAGTTAGAGGGTGGAACGGTGCTCGATGGGTGATGGGGATGACGGACGGTGATTGAACCAATCTTGGACAGGACCAGGGCGACATGGTGGTTTCTTTCTGGGGGGCATCTGTCGAAGTTTGCCATCCGCTATTTATCGCCGAGGGAGAGAGAAGAAACGACTCGACTCGACGAGCGAGAGGTTGAGGCAACAGAGAGGAGGACCCGCCGGTCGGGAGATGAGATTTGTCCTGAGCTTCCCCAATTATTAGCAATTGCTGCAGCTTCTGCTATGACTTTGGGGTTTTGACTTTTTGCCATGTGATGGATGGATGCTGGTGCAGATGGGCCACGGCTGATGGCTGATGGCCCGATGGTGGATGGTGGACTGGAGGTTGGCGGGATGATGGTTGTGGAGGATGGATGGATGGATGGACTTGGAACAACGGGCCTCTTCATTTCTTCTCCCTCGCCTTCTTCTCCTTCTTCCAACTATGGGGCCGCCTTCGAGAAAAATCCACAAGACCACAATTAATTCACTCTTCATTTCTTTCGGGCCTCTTCTTGATTCCTTCTATCGCCTACCTCTCCGCCTCGCCGTCCTCTGAGTCTTGAAGTCGTGCGCCGAGCTTCCCTTTGAACCATCCCTGGTCGATCATCGTCTGTGTTCCCACCTCAAACCGCAGCCTGCGACATAGCTCAACCACCGGTGTCCATCGATCAATTTATCGTTCGCTGCACAGGCACTATCATCCCCTTTGCACATCAAAACCGATTGACAGCCCAGTTTCTGAAACTGGAGTAGCAGCAAGGGACTGCATCCCCCCTGGTCCCCTGTCAAAAAGGTTGACCTCCGCCTTACCAGTCTAAACGACGTTAGAAGGCGCACTTGATGCTTCGGCTACTACACTTTCTGGTATTAGGACCCTGACCGCCGCTGTCGAGCCCTCATGCCCGAATGATTCATTGCTATCTCAACCGTGGACAGCCTTTTTAATCGTACCATATCCTCTCTCTGGCTCGCTCCACGCTACCCCGGGCCTTCTTGTTCTGCATCTTCACCATTTCGACAAGTACCTCGGACACCTCCAAAGTCTCTTCCGTCCAGTTTTGTCGCCTTGCCGTTCCTTTTCCTGTCATCTTGGGGCTGCGGCATTTGCCCCTTCAGATTTTCTGAGCGTCTCCTACCGCACTGATATCTTTGATTCTAGAATTGGACGCTGGCCGGTACCTCCGCGATCCTTTTTTCCATCCTCCTTACCGGCACTCGATCTCTTGGTCTGCCAACCTCGGTTGTCTAGCGAGGCATGCTCTGACATATCCTAATTGAACTTTCATGTGGCTTGGATAAATCTTCAAGATCGATCAGACAGCCTGATCATCAACCGCTCAACTACATCTCCAAATCCTCACCGCAATCCCGGCGTATATCTGTGGTACCTGCTACCACAGATCTATCGACCAAACTATTGGCCACCACGGTGTTCCTGATCTGACGTCCTCGATTATTTCCACCATCTGGGTTGTAACCTCTATGTTACTTCCTGGTGTGACAGATCTGCCTTAGTGGAGGAATTTTGGTGCTATTGTTATTTTTCTCTTGATTGGTCCATGGGGAATTCTCAGGGCAAGCCTGTGGTCTTGACCGATGAAGGTAAGTGGTCTGGACGCTCGAAGACTACGCATTCACGTGCTCACATTTGAGTCAGTCAACCTCAATCACTTTCGCCTGTTACGGGTCGTGGGCAAAGGAGCCTTTGGGAAGGTTCGCATTGTAGAGCGCAAAGACTCTGGTTTGACGTTTGCTCTTAAATATATCCGCAAGGATGAAGGTCCGTTCTTAGCCATGATGCAAACAAGCAGCCCATCGGGTTATCTCTAACTGTATCGCAGTGGTTCGATCTGAAAGCGTTCGCAATATCATCAGAGAACGGAGAATGCTCGAGCATCTGAACCACCCCTTCTTGTGCAATCTGCGCTACAGTTTCCAAGACGTCGAATATCTGTATCTCGTGGTCGATCTGATGAATGGTGGTGACCTTCGCTTTCACATCCAGCGGAAGTCCTTCACCGAGGACACGATCCGCTTCTGGATGGCCGAGCTGGCTTGTGCCCTTCGCTACATTCACAGTCAGGGTATCGTCCATCGCGACCTGAAGCCGGATAATGTGCTACTAGACTCGGAGGGTCACGTTCATCTGGCAGACTTCAACGTCGCCTCCGACTTCAAGCCAGGGAAGCCTCTAATAAGCAAGTCAGGAACCTTGGCATATCTCGCACCAGAAGTGTTCAGAGGTCAAGGATATTACAGTGAAGTTGATTGGTGGTCGTTGGGGGTGACCATGTACGAATGTGTTTATGGGAAGAGGCCGTTTGAAGCACGGACTCACGAAGAATTGGTCGACGCAATTTGTGCGGCTAACCCCCGATATTTTGTTACGAAGCCTCCGGTGTCGATGCCATGCCTTCATGCGATGACAGCTCTAATCGAGAAAGACCGACGAAAACGAATCGGCGCCACTGGTTTCGATACCTTCACCTCGCATCCCTTCTTCACTAGCATCAACTTTGAAGCGCTGGAAAGAAAGCAAATCCCTCCCGTGTTTATTCCCTCCAGTGAAAAGACCAACTTTGATGCCACCTACGATCTGGAAGAGTTGCTCTTGGAAGAGGCCCCCTTGGAGGCTCGAGCGCGGAAACAGAAGCCGCGGGCGGAACTGCGCAACGATGCTACGAGCAAGGAAATTCGGGAAGACGAACTTCATCGCATGATCGAGACAATGTTTGAGCCTTTTGATTATACCCTGGCCAGTTATGATGTGTAAGAGCCGGATTTTCCGCGGACCTAGTTGGACATGATGCTAACAATATCACAGGAGTGCGGCAGCTGCAGTTGCTGGCACCGTGCCGGAAGAACATGTCGAATTGGATATTGCTCAACCAGACTCACATTCTGTTCCTACCTCGCCAGACGGATCGCCACCGATATCACCCACCGCAGTCACATCGCCTCCACGGGCCGAAGAAAGCTATCCACCATTGGATGAACTGAAAGCGGCAGTGCCGCAATCTCTACCATCTGGACCACATGGTCGACCCGCCTCTTCCTCGAAATCATTCAGCAGACCTATCCCTCCTCAGCGACCGATGCCCGCCACGCGGCAGACAAGCAAAGGGGGCGGAGTTCAAATGGTGTTGGACGAGTCGGGAAGCTGGACGAATTTGGCCGATCAGACCGCTCCGCACCCGCAAGACAGCTTGGGCGACGGAGGTAAACTGGAGAAGAGCAGTGGCAGTATGCTAGGGTTCCTGAGCAGGAAGAAGGGAAGGGATCGAAGTCCCAAACCAAAAGAGGCGGGCGTTTTGGGTAAGGTTGGAGCGAGACATATCATCAGCTAAATTGCCATACAACCTGGGGCAACCACCACACTCTCCTCACCTCAAGCTCGACAAAGTCGAGTACCACACAAATATGTTCGGCTCAAACTGGACTTTCAACCTGAGTTCGTCAAGGCCCCTAGCCTTCCCACGATAACAGCATCGAGTCTGCAAAATCGAGGGACGGGCCGGCACGGTGCCATATTGGCAGAGACGCGGGATTGAACAGCTTCACCATGTGTCAGGAAGCAGTCTCGGTCTGCTAAAGATGCTATTAGACATCAAGCACCACCACAGCGATTCTCGAGCAGGTCACGGCATGACGGGAATCCATACGTTATTCTTCACATAGTCGATCACCACGATCTGAAGCAGAGAACGTGGGGAATAGGCGGGAAACCGGTGGCAGGCAACCGGAGGCGCAAATTGTATGACTAGGCCATATGTAATGCTACAAGACTGAACATGCTGGGTGGCATTGAATAAATAATTCAGCTACAATGAGACCAGTGTGATTTTCTTTCGATTTGTTATTTGTTTATTATTTGGATACCCTGCATGAAAGAGTAGTAGGAGCGAGTGCCTAGTACAGAGATATGTTCCCATCCGGGTGCTTTGTACCGAGTAATATATTGGTCGGTTGTTGCCCGGCACAGAAGACGAACCGGCGCAGGTTGGGGACCCACCGCAGCCACCAAACAACCAGCTCCCAGTGGCTCAGAGACCCAGGCCAGCTCCAATTCTCTCTTGCGTGCTGCTCGCCCGGAACTGTCCAATGTCAACACTCGAAACAATACACACTACGAGTTCCTCTCTCTCTCTCTCACACCCACACACCTTTTGTCCAGTGTCTCTGCTTCTTTTTTGCTGCTCCCACTCACTTCTGTCTCCTCCATAGTCGCTCGTGCTGGTTTTATTGCACATATCCTTTATTGAGCCCTATTATGTGCACCTCTTAATCTTCGTGGTTGGAGTTGGAGTCGAGACATTCGAGGCGCGTCGGTCGCGTGGTTCTAACTAATACCACACACACACACACTCACCACACCAGATACCCCTCCCTGCCATTCTACCGTCCTGCCATCCTTGGCCCATCTCTCTCCCCCAGCCTGCCTCCAGCCAGCAGAGACAACCACTTCTATCCTTATGAATGGCCGCTGCTGTATTCGTACCGCCTTCACCCCACGATCCTCTCTCCAAGATGGCGACTTCCTCTCGTCGAGTTCCACTGGCCAGCATAGCAAATGCTACCAACTCTCCCCATCGGCCACTCACCAACAGCAGTTCTAAACGGCCCCGAAGCATCGCGAACGTGTCCCAGCAGGAGAATGAACATCCTCACAAACGCCTGGCCATAGATAGGGCTGGGCGAGAGGTGTACAACCCAGCTACCCCACAAAAACAATCCCATCTAGCCTTGACGGAGGGTCGTGTCTTTGAAAGAAGCCATGGGGAGTCTGCATCGACTGCTTTCCAAAGGAGATTGGTCGCTTCGAGGGACAAAGATCGAACTGCTGCGGGTCTTCGTGTGACCAAGAACATCGATACACTCTCCAAAGAAGATTCTGGACTTAAGACATGGCAACGACACTATCGGAAAGTGTTTCCCTCCTTCAGGTTCTACTTTGACGGTTTTCCGGAGGAGGTCAAGTCGCGCTTCCTCCGACACATAACAGCTCTTGGGGCGGTATGTTTCACACGGGGACGCCTCGCGCTGTATATCTTGCTGACATTGTTGTAGAAAGAAGAAAAGTTCTTTTCAAAAGCTGTCACACACATAGTAACAGCTCGCCCTATCCCGGTGGAGCTGGGGAAGAGCAATGCGGCCGGAGATGGAGCTGCACAACCATCTCCGACTGAAGAACACCCTCAGACCATTAACCCATCTTTACTTGAAAAGAACCCTCGTGGACATGGCGGCTCCCACGTGATGCGCAATGCCGTCAACCCAATGGATATCCTCGTTCGGGGGAAAGAAATGGGCATGAAGATCTATTCCATTGACAAGCTGCAAAGAGTACTCAACTCTGTCCTCGATGACACCGGAAATCATGGCCATCACACCAGGGCATCGGCCCACACCACCCGACTCCAGCACGAAGATTTGGGGGAAGTCTTGAGGAACGAGAAGCTTGGTGTCGCTTCGGAAAGGGAGTTACCATCTATGTCGATGGTGGCGTTCAAGGGTCCTTTCATCTATGTTCATGACATGGATGAGAAATACCGTCCCACCTTGGTCAGGGACTATCCGAAAGTGGCACGGAGGACTGATGGTGAATGGCCTCAATTCCGATCTGCCAGTGTTGGAAAATGTCCATTCGTCGAAGACCCTGCCATGAAGAAGGACATCGAGCAGGAGCAGAGGCGAGCACAGAAGCTTGCCTTGCAGCAGGAGCAGCAGCGTCAGCAACAGCAACAGCGTGAGCAACATGCTCCGCGCACCCGATCCCACGTGACTGTCACCCCTGCGGGTAACGATGCTCCTCGCCGTACGAGCCCCAGGAAGGCCCTGCAACCGGTCAACAACGGTGCAAATGCCTCCATAGACCTGGACAAGGAGAGGGGTTCAAAGAGTCACTCTGCTGTCATGGAACGTCAACCATCGTTCCCTCCCATGCCGAAGCGAGGCGATCTAGAATTTGTCCGCCCACCGCAGCTACACATGGCTCGCGAACCAGCAGCATCCGGGATACAGAGATCCAATCTGACTTCGGCAATCCAGTCACAGATGATTTCTTCAACGGCGGGCACTGGAGTCAAAGCCGGTACGAGCAAAGAGGTGCATCATCAATTACAGCGTCAGGTCCTTGAGCGCACCCATACCGGAAGCCTTTCTGTAGGCTCTATTCCGTCCTCTCACCGCATGAATGACCTTGCCGGAGTTCTGAAGAGTGCCCGGGGTCCTGCTCCACAAAGGGCAGCCAAAAGCAAAGCTCAAGAAAAGTTGGGCGGAATACAAGAAGAGGCAGACTCCCATGCCGATGACATTGCAGCTGAACGGACTACGCAGACGTCGAGGAGGAGGAAGACTATTAAGAGAGATCCCAAGCCAGGGTACTGCGAGAACTGTCGTGACAAATATGAAGACTTTGACGAGGTAAGTCACTGAAATTGCCGTCAGGGCCAAGTCTGACTTGAGAATAGCATGTTGTGTCCCGCAAGCACCGAAAGTTTGCAATGACTCAGTCGAATTGGGCAGAGCTGGACGCCCTTCTCGCAAAACTCCAAGCATGTTGAAGAGCATGGGACACCAGGTTGTTCCCAAAGGCGGAGCGAAGGCAACACTGTTGCTCGAACCCTCACGATGCAGCAACAGCGTGTCACTCACTTTGATTATACCTTTTGCTGTTGCATTTTAGCGGTTGATATGGTTTATCCTTGGGAGCATCAGCAGAGCACCAAACCGTCCGACCGTGAACGTCTGCGTTTTTGGAGGACGACGCCGAATCCCAGCCTCGTCGGACGATGAAAAATCTAATAATATTGCGTAACAATCTATTCTTGGTTCGAATGCGGCAATAAAGGGGGGGTGGAGGAGCGTGGTACACGAGATGATGAAGGGAATGGCTTTCCATGAGGTTCATAAACTTGGTGAATCTGATGTCCATGGTCTGTGAATTCCAACGAAGTACCGAATAGATGGTGCCTTGCTCTCTTGTTTCTTGCGACATGTGCTGCGGCTTCAGTCCATTTCTTCTTAGAGTCTCTGAGCTGGTTCATCTTGACTTCCTCTGACATCTCGAGCCCTCATCTACACTTGGTACCCTGAGGTCAATTGGGCAGTGGTATCACGTCTCGGAGGGTGACTGGCAACATCGACATCGTCATTCTCATTCAAAACATGCACGTATACACCATCCTGAGGTTACATTTGGTGTGGAAATTTCCAATGGGAGATTTCAAAAAAACATCAAGTTGTTGCTACTTGGGAAGATGCAAAGTGGCCCGTGCAAACAATGTGATGTGGACGGTCTGAACTGGTCTTTTATCCCCTTCCACTCTTCGTCTTTTCTCTCTCACACACTCTCTCACAATGACACTTCCCTTTTCCTGAGGGAAACTGAATACTCTCTACTCACACTAACTCATACATCCTCGTCCAGAGTCTAGATCGAAGATATCTGCGAGACGATGAACGGAACCTTGCTTTGTTCGCCATGCCTTGTTCAATGCCGTTCGAGGGGATGGTCAAAGCGCCGTCTTCGAAGATGCCGGATTCGGCCTCGAAGTCTCTTTGAAGCTCAAGCAAGAAGCACCCTTATCCGATGTCTGGACAATGGAATTCTTTACGAGGAGAGTTACTCGTCAACGCGAACGTCTACTTTGTGCCCTGCAAAACCGTGTATTTGAGTCCAGTTGTGGTCCCGAACGAACTTTTGCGATGTTGTCCGATCGACCGACCCATGCTTCGTCGAAAGATTTTCAACCCATCCTTTTGTTTTCTTTGCGGTTTACTGTTCGAGCAACTTCTCAGCTATACAAATTTTGCTCAACTGAGTTCAAGCTGTTGATGGTCTTGTCACCATGAAGGTTAGGGACCTCCCAGGCGCCAATTTCCGCATCGCAACGACCTACAACTCACCCTACGATCGGGCAAAATGGACACACGACGGCGAGAGAACGAGACGGCGGGTGCGTCGGTGGAGACAGGAGAAGGAGTGGTACGATGGACGGGTAGAGGCGTTTGCCCTGTCTAGGTCATATCTCGAGCTTGAGCGCGAAGAGGATAGTATGTGGGAGGTATGTGCCCCTGATAAAACGAAATCTGAAAGTCGGGAAAAGGGGACACTCTTTCTCCTTCTTCCTAGATTCTGTCATTGCTGATGTCCGCGCTTTATCGTTTAGTGTACGGACATCCTGGGCCGCGGGGCCTTTGGTATGGTTGGGAAATGGACCAAGTTTGACAAAACCGGCAGGGTTTTGGATGTAAGGCGATCGACACCTCCGTTGTTAAAAGGACCCTTTGCTTACCGATCTCTCTTGTCTAGGACGTTGCGATCAAGCAGTCCGACCTCGACGACCGTGAGCTTGACGAGGAGGGCCGTCCAACGGTACCCACCGAAGCCGTGCTGGTAAAGGCATTGATGAATCAGGGATGCCGGAACGTTGCCAAGCTGCGCGAGATGAGATTCTTTGACGGCGACCGACCAAAATGGAGATTGTACCTCGAATACTACCGATACGGTACCTTGCATGACCTGATCCAAAAATACCGGGCACGGAACAAAAGAAATCGTCAAGAGTAAGGCTGGCCACCTCAAAATAGAGAATAAGGAGCCCCACCGAAGCAAGAGCCCAGTTTCACTAATTTTTTTGGATGGTTCGCAGAGACCGGATCCCAGAAGCGTTTGTGTGGCAAGCATTTCACGACTTTGCCCAGGCGTGTTATCACATGAAGGTTCTTCGGCTGGATAGCATTGGTGTCCGCTCGCCTCGGGGCGACCACTTCGCTCTGCACCTGGACCTGAAGGCAGAGAACGGTACGTGTTCAGCATTGAACTAATCGATCTAGCTAATCAAATGGGGCAGTTTTGCTGGGAGATGCGCCTGCAAACCAGAAGAGTATTCCGTATCCGACGGTGAAAGTCGCAGACTGGGGTATGGCCGAGTACACGAGCCTGGACGATAGTAGGAACAGCAAGAGATGGAAGAAGTACGGGACGATTGTGTGGATGCCTCCGGTATGTTTCGTCTTTGACATCTCTTGCGGATCTCCTCCGTCCTCCCATTACCGTTCCCAAGGCGAGAATAGATGAGAAACTGATGTGTCTATCCGAACACAGGAACAACGGGACTTTGGCCGCTATGGCGAACGATGGCATCATCCCGTTCTGGGAGGCGCCAATCATCCTTACTCCATGAAGCACGTCGTCTGGCAAATCGGCGCCAACATCTACGGGCTGATGAACCTGGATATATACAACGAGGACATCAACGAGGTGATCAATAACGCCGAGGGCATGGAGAACACCCTGCGAAAACACGGCTATTCCGCCCTGATGGGCTACCGGAGTCGGTTCTACTCGTCCGAGCTGACGAGTTTGGTCGAGGACTGCCTTCGGATCGATCCCTCGAGGAGGCCGAATCCGTATGAATTGGTGGGGAGGACGCAGGACGGGCTGGCTCGATATACGGAGAAATACCACCAGACGGGAGATCATCCAAAGTTGAAGCTGTAGGCTGACTCTCGAACTTGTATATACATCATGGCCAGATGGAGAATTGGTTGTCAATTCATAATTATGTAGTTGATCCGAAGCCGCCTAGATTTAGTCTAGTGTAATCTTCAAGTGGAGCTTGAGATGAGTTGCCATATGATTGGTCCCACGCTTTCTCATCTGCCCGTCTGCCAATGCAGCAAACTGCGGAGTTCGCGAAAAAGGCCATACCAACGCTCTTCATTTCCAAGCCAGCGTTTGTTATTTGCACACCATTTGCAGCGCCCGCGACCGAGGGCGTCTTGAAAGTTCGCAACTCTGGAGCTTCGCTCAGGAATGAGCTAGCAACAATCCCTCCATCCAACTTACCTCACCGTGTCACTCGAGGACCGCCCATCTCTGGTCCATCATCATGGCTTGCACAAACCTCCAATCCTCCTTTCGTCGCCTGGTCCGCGAAGCCAGCCGCACAGGGCCACGCGAGATCCCATCGTTCCTCGTCCCAGCACTATCTCGGCCGCCTAGAGCAAGGCATGCCTCGACGCTCGTCGAACCCCAGACCCAGATCCCGAGCTACCAGTCACGCATCGGCCGAGCCCCCATCACCGTGCCCCCCGAAGTCTCGCTGCGGTTTTACGAGCTGCCCAAGGGAAACGTGCGGAGTCGGCACCCAGACACGCCAAACATGGCGTTGGAGGTTACGGGACCTCTAGGTAAGACACCAGGGGAGGCGCACTGTGGGAGAATGTGTCAAAAGAAGGCTAGAGAGAGGCATTTGAAAGGTTCTGGTGGCTGATCCGTTGGGTGTGTGCAGGACAAATGACGGTGCCGTTGCCGCCTTATCTACAAGCCGAACTCGACGAGTCTGCCAAAAAGATCAATATCAATGTCAAGGATGCAGCGGAGAAACATCAGAGGGCAATGTGGGGTGAGTTCTCCGGGACATTGTAGCTTATGTTCAATTCAGAATGAGTTACACGGGAAAGAGGAAAACAGTGCTGACAATTTCTCTTCGGCGGTTTCTAGGGACCATGCGCGCTCTCGTCCAAAATTCCGTCTCGGGCGTCTCGGAAGGCCACCTCTGTATCCTGAGACTGGTGGGCGTCGGATACCGCGCCACGATCGAAGATAGCGCGCAGACCAAGACGGCGCAATACCCCGGCCAGAAATTTGTGAATTTGAAGCTCGGATACGCGCACCCGGTCGAGATGGGCGTGCCCCAGGGAGTCAAGGCCTCGACCCCCCAGCCCACCCGGATCCTGCTCGAGGGGTGCGACAAGCAGGTCATCAAGCAGTTTGCGGCGGAGATTCGGCGGTGGAGGAAACCCGAGCCGTACAAGGGGAAGGGTATCTTTGTGAATGACGAGACGATCCGCTTAAAGGCCAAGAAGATCAAGTAGATGGACCGAATCTGATGGCAAAGGTGGAAGGGAGAGAGGAAGACATTCCGGTTGTCATGGCCTTGGAAGATATTATGTTATTGTGTCTTACAGGTGTCAGTCCCAACACCAGGACAAGCACAAGCAGCGAGGTACAGAACCTAGATGAACACCAAGCGATCAGATATATGGATAGATGGAGACGGGTGTTGGACTTGGATTTGGGGGTCTGTGATCTCTCTCTCCGTCAAAAGACCTCGTCTGGTTTCGAGTCCCTGGATGTAGTAAAAGAGACGGGGACAGGGACATGTATATAATAGGTGCACGCTGTACGCTGTACCATAGATGGATTAGGATTCAGTCTAAGAGCACTTACCAAGTACATATCTGCAATCAATACCTACCTACCCACCGACCCCATCCACGTACGAGTATCTCGTGCTGTAACTCGATGTGCACAATACATGTATACTCCTCTCCACGTGTACGCATACTCGTACTCGTACTTGGTACTCATTCTCCACTCGTTTTCAATTTTTCATCTTTGGTACGGTTTTTGGATCATGAACCCTGGGACCGATAGATCCAGCTATCTACCCACCCATCCTTCTTTCTACGGGAGTGAATGGTGGATACTAGGTACACAGATGTGGATGTGGACAGGACTTGGGAGCTGGGAGCCTGGACTTGATATCTTATTCGAGAGTATGTCTGTCTGTTTGTTTACCCAGTACCCCTACCTCCTCAGAGGGGAAGTGTAGTGCAGTGTAGTGTCGTGAGCAATCACCGAGTCAACGGTGTCTGGTATTCGTTCAATCCATCTATCAATGTGTACAGGCATTCAATGAGAGCCCTACTTGGATCATTTTTCCATTCGTTCAATCAATCAGTCAGTCGCTCAGCCAGTCACAAAGATCAAACATAATCCTCGGGCCTTGTTCTTCCAGCGCCAAAGCTTTTGTCCCCTATCTATGCCTCTCTCTGTAACGCGATTCTGTTTTGAGATGTATCGTCTATTTCGCCGCCAATACTTCCTGGACAGCCTTGAGGACCTCGGCGTGCACGTTGGCCGGAGTCGCAATGACGCCCTTGTTCTCGAGCAGGGTCCGGCCGAGGCTGAAGTTGAGTCTCTTGCCAGTAACATCGGTGACCTGGCCGCCGGCCTCGCGCACGATCAGGTCGCCAGCAGCGTGGTCCCAGATTTTCTCAATATAGTCCTTACGCACGGGCAGGCGGAGGTAGAGGTCCCCAGCTCCGCGGGCCACACTGCCGTACTTGGCCTGGCTGTCCATCTGCACAGGGCGGCCCGTGATGCCCAGCTTCTCCGCGATCAGTGCGTTGTCGCCTTTACTCGAGTGGCCCGGCTCAACCGACTCGCACATGACGGCCTCGCTCACCTTGGAGATCTTGCTCACATGGATCGGTTGACCATTTGTTGGGAGACCTCTTGTCAGGGGTTGCGAGGTCGCGCCCTGACCCTGCACAGCGGAGAAGAGAACTCCTTTCCCCTCCGCGTCGGTGGCCGCGGCACCCATGTCCTCTGTGAGTGGAGCCGAGTCATCGACTGGCAGGTTCGGGCAGCCTAGAACCCCGACTTTAACGTCGCCGTCGACCATGAGGGCAAGACACACGGCATACTGTCCGCCGCGGAGGAAACCCTTGGTGCCATCAATGGGGTCCAACGCCCAAATGCGGCCCTTGTTGCCGCCGGCCGAGTTGCCTTGATCGATGGCGTCGAGCATTGCCTCTTCAGACTTGAGCGGTCCGCCGAGCACGGCATCGATGGACGGATCGTCCAGTCGAACATCCTTGACAAGGTTCCAGATCTTGGATGAGAGGTCTTTCTGTTCACGGAGAGAGGAAGCTTCTTCTTCGCCGACAACCTCGTCATTAGGAAAATTGTGCTTGATGGCGGCGATGATTAGCGCCTGGGCGCCAAAGTCGCCGATCGTCACGGGGGATTTATCGTCCTTGGACACGGTGCCCTTGGCCTTCTCGTGGAAGACTGCCTTGGTCAAGATGGCGGCACGGGCGACGGCCAGCTGGGCAACTTTGAGCTCATGCTCGTATTCCTTGGTGGGTGCCATCTTGTGGAGAGCGGCGTTTCGTTGGGATCGGGATTCGATGCCAAGGCTTGATATGAAGCTTAGGAGGGGAAAGGGGGCTGCCGGCGGAAATTGAGCGATCAAGGCACTCAGACGAGGGAGCAGAGATGAAGCTGCTGGACGGGGAGACGGTGCCAGGATGAAAGCGACGATCAGGATGGCAGCGGAGCAGAAGAAGATGACGATTGTAAGAGTAGTGATAGAGAATCGACGGTGGGATCGAAAGTGGATGCGTTGGTTGGGATTGAACAGGAGGAGCAAGTTCATCACTCACCGCCAATCTGGGGAAGAAACTCTCAATGGTTTTTTTTTTCGCCTACAGTAGTAGGATAGTAGGGGATGGAGGGGTAGGGCAAGTCAAAGAATTCAGTCAGACAGAGACAATCGGGCAGTCAGGCAGCCTAACGCTCAGCTTTTAGGGGGCCAGAGGTGCCAGCGGCGCGGGAGGCTTCTCAACGGCCTAGGCGTCAATTCAGCCTCAGTGTCAGTCAACAACCAGTTGGGCGTCCAGCCTCTGGCAGTTCTCGCAGTTTTCAGAGTTTGGACGGGCGGCGATACGGGATCCAACGCATGTCGATCTTGGCGCATCTCCGTTCTCTCCCAATCTGGTCAGAGTTCAATATCTGCTCGCCATGTTTTGTTTTTGTTTTTGTTGTTGTTGAAGGAGGCTGTTGGTGAAAAGCCGACGACAATCATGACCTACGTACGTCTTCAACACAGGGGGGAACGCCATGTCTTATCTTCTTGCAGAGCCCACAGGGCCCTAGCTCTGCTGGTTGATCACGCAATCCCACCATCGAATTGCCAAATCCATTGGCCCTCTACCTATCCGTCTCGCTGTGTCCCAAGCTCCCAAGATCTTCCACGCCAGCCCGCCGGTGTGGCTTTAAGCATGTCGAAGCTCTTCCTGGAATGGACCAGATGGGCCCTTGTATCTCGGTTGGGCAAGACCGACGCCAGTTCGGAGGACGGGAGTACACGCAGGACTTTATGCAGGCACAGTGGATTACGCTGGTGGCTTGAGAAACACCACCTTTGAAGAACTACAGTCCATACCTCTGTTTGTTTGCTTCCCTGGGCACAATCATAACTGAGGGATTCGTGAGGTTATGATTTGCTGCTCTCTGTGCTGGGATGATGCATCAGAAAGGGCGTGTGCCTCTTTGCAGGTACACCAGCCCCATTCGTCCAACAAAACCGGTGGAAATAGAAATAAATTCTCGTTCTGACCACCCATTAATATTGAACATGAGGAATCAGCATGGGCACGCGCCGTCTTTGCTGTTTGAAGCGCACACTTCGCCCCTAGCAGTGTGACCCCCCAGCCTCCCAGGTGCAACCCTGAGGCTTCATGCCCGTCAAGGAACAACAGATGGGAAGTCATGGTCCTTGACACCATGTGCTCTAACCACCGGCGGGTATTTGCTACTCGACAAAGTAAAAAGCACAAACGGTCGGCAACTACAAACTCCTCGGTCCGCATCGAGTTTGCTTTTTCCCTTCAAATCCTACTCGTCTGGTCGGCTCGAAGATCTAGACGGGTGCGTTTTTGTCTGGAAGGGATCAGCCACCTCGGGAGGAAGATTCTGATAGAGCAAAGCGGTGTGGCCTCATCGTGACTGGCGAACCATCTGTGAGGAATGATGCGTGTGGTCGAAAGGATTCAGCTAGCCTGCGAGTAAATATGTGCCACTAACACCTTGAACCATGCATCATCTCCCTCTTTCGGAACGGCCACTCACTGGATCCAGATCCTTCGCGTCTCCACCACTTGGCCTTCCGCGTGCCTCGTGGCACTTTAGGACCTGCGCTTACCGTGGTAGACCAAACACCACGGCCTAAAGTGGCCAAGGTCCAGTGTCCTATGCAGTATGCCTCCTCTTGAATAGTGCCATATCGGCGAAAAGGTGTCAGTCCGCGCCGACGTTGAGATGGGAGAATAAGTGACAGCTGGGGAAGGTCCTGAGCAGCGAAACGACGAAGCTATCAGATCATCTGGGTTGTGTTCCCCTGCCGGGGTTTGCTGGCTTGTCAACAACCTGTGTTGGCGTCAGGTAAGATCCAGAATGATGTGAGAAAATACGAGTCACTTTGTCTGTTTGGTTGTTTACCAAATCTCCAGACCCAGTCGAATCCAGGCTTTCGCAACGTATAAGGAATGCTGAGGTTATTGAGGCGCAGTACCTTGATCCCCATTGACGCCAAAATTGAGCTTTCTTCCTTGGAAACAGAGCGCAATTTGCCCCAAAAGCCAATGTGAAGTGGACGCCATGCCCGCGATTCCAGCGAGAAGTGGGTTAATTAACAGGTAGTGGCTGCTAAAGTGGGGAATGAGGGGCATCTACTATCGCCTAAACAAACAAACTTGTTAGCAGTGATCCCGATGGCTTTGGCGACTCTTTCCCCCCCAAAACGCCCCCCAAGGCCTGGTTTTGCAGGTGACTGTCACTGACTGGGTCCTATTTTGGAGCCTTTCCCTTCTTGGCTCCGCAGGCCACTAGGGCCCGATGCAGCAAACCATCCACCATCGATGTTCCAACCCGTTCACACCTGGATGCTCAACCCCCAATTTACCAGTCTCATTTCCGTACGCCTCTGACCTACCTGTGCATAGGCCCTCTATAACCATGTTCTCCGCCTCGGTGAGTCCTCTCTCTTCCTATATCATCTCTTATTGTCCCTTGTTTCTGCCATGTCTTGACCCTGTTCCGCCCATCTCCATCCCCAAATCACCTACCCCGCCCAGTGCCCGCCATACCAGTGCTCCCAATGAAGCCCTCAATGTCGATATTCCTGGTGCACGCTCCAGCATGTGCTCCCGATGCTGGATTCGTCGACCTACCTCGACCTGAGAGTCCCCAGGTGGCCGATCCCTACGAGGTCGAAAGCTTGATTCATTGTCAAGAGCCGGAGGAGTGCGTCCGCTGCGCTCGCAAGAAGAGGAGGACCTTTGACGCCTATCCCGCACAGCCAAACCCTGAGATCCTAACTCGCCGGTTCCCTGACAAGAAGGGCTGCAAGCGCCTACTTGCTCTCATTCTACATTTCTCTTGTTGTGCGCGATCTCGGAGAAGATATCAACTAATCACTCGTTATCGGTACCACAAACAGAAGAAACCATATTCCGCCATCTCGGTCCACGTCGAACAATTGACCTCGGAAACCTATGAAGAAGACGATGTTGCTGGCATCCCTGATCTTCTCGAGGTCGTCAAGTTGCAAGCCACTGGTGCTCAGGAAGTTGCTCGAGCTCTGCGGAAGAAGTTGAAATATGGCAACGTGCACCGGCAACTCCGGGCCCTTACCATTCTCGACGGTCTCCTACAAAACGGTGGGACAAGACTACAACGCGCGTTATTGTCCGATGGTCCTCTATTGGAACGACTTCGAATAGCCGCAGCCGACCCTACCTCGGACCAGGATGTCCGCTCAAAATGCAAAGACCTCTTCGGGCAGTGGGTTGCAAGCTCAAAAGAAAGTCCAGGCTTGGAAGGGGCCAAGTCCCTCTACAACACATTGCCCCGAACTCATCAGCCGGTGCAGCAACGACGGGAGCAAAGCAGAGTGCTCCGGGAGACAGAAGAAGACGTTGCCAGAGAGCAAGAGATGGAGATTGCAAGAACGAGGTCCGATAGCTACCCAAGATCCGGCGAGTCATCCAACCCCGCAACTCTACGAAAGCAACCTTCTCCCGTTGCTCTCGGGGAATCATCCACATTTGCCCCCAAAAAGGTGAAGAAGGACAAGAAAAGCAAACAAGCCAAGGGAGGATTCAACCTGGAGAAGGAAAAACCCAATATCTTACAATCGATCGCTGCATCTTCAGTTGCTTCCACTGGTTTGGCCAATGCCTTGAGGCTGGTCAACCGCGAGTCTCAGCGCGTGTCAGACAATCCCGAAGTTATGAAACGCTTCGAAACCTGCAAACAGCTTCGACGTCAGATTCTGCGATACATCCAATTCGTCGAGTCCGAGGAGTTCTTGGGAGGTTTGATCCACGCCAACGAAGAGCTGGTCAATGCTCTGATGGCGTTCGAAGTTCTCGACAAGTCGGTCGATGATGATTCGGACAGTGAGCTCGAAGAAGCACAGCATCTCAGTCGACAAGCAGCTAAAAGTGAGGCGTCAGCTGCGAGAGACGCAGAGAAGTTGGTCGCTGGGCTCAGCATTTCTGCTCCACCCAAACCTCCCCGGCCGACCCCCCGCAATATTGCGATGCCACCGCCACGGCCATCGTCGAATTCCAAGAATTGGAGGACCAAGCAAGTCGAAAGTGACAGCGAGAGCGAGACAGATGTCGAGGACGATTCAGATGACCCTTTTGCTGATAAAAACGCTATGAAAACTCCCGACCCCGACTCTCTCGGGAGAAAAGGGTACACGTGGAAGGAAGTGTAGATTTAACGGTATGAGTTATGAGGCATGGAAGATTGGCGGACCTTCAAGCACAGATTCTGTTCATCCTCTTCTATTCGATAGAGCGGCAGACGATGTGCTCCTACATTTGATGAAGCTATGAATGAATGACATTCGAAACACGAAAAGCACCTGATACCAATCCCCCCTCTTGTTTTAGTGCTTTGATCCATCGAATCAACTAAGTGGTCGGCAGTTGATTATCTCCCGATGCTCGTATTTTACCCCACAATTTGAGGTTGAGGCCTCGGCCGTCCCAGCATGATATAGCTGGAACCTGTCTATACAGCTAGGAAACTTATGTTGACACCTTTCCATCTTTTGTTGACATTGTCCAACATCAGACGTGCGAGGAAACAAACAGTACGAAGCGAGTCGAGGCACAACAGAATTCATGGCCAACTACACTTTCTCCAACCAATCCTCCATCCCGTCCCCTCTGGACAAACAACTCCCAGCGTTCTTTCGCTCGTGGGACGACCCGCACTCAGACAACAGCTACCTCAGCCTGTTCGCCCCCGAAGGCCAGCTGTTGTTCGGGTCGGCCGTGACGGGCCACGAAGCCATCCGTGCCTTTCGCGACGCCATGATCCACCCGACGAACGGGCCCGTCGTCGACCTCGAGCACACCCTGGACAAGTGCTTCGTGCTGGCCGGGGGCGCCGGGCCGGGGAAGCAGGAGGTGATTGTGAACGGGTCACTGTGGTACAAGCTGCGCAACGGCCGCAAAATCGCCGTCGACTTTGCCAGCATGATCAAGTTCGCGGATCCAGGCGACGGGGCCGATCTTCAGGCTGAGCTTTACGAGGTGTACCTGGATGCGCATGAGTTGAAGACTGCGATCGCTGAGATGGGGGAAGAAGGGAAATGAGAGATGGATGATTCTTGCTCTCCTTCCGCTCCAATCTTGTCGTTCTTCCCTCCTCTTCCTTTTTTGCTTTGCCCTTAGCCCCCGCCTGGAATCGAGTGGTGAAATGGCTTGAGTGACATGAAGTCAAGCCAGCTGATGGGTATGTCAATGTATACAGCAGGCGACACGTCGTTCTCATCTTGCTGCATTCTGTTCCTCTACTTTCTGATAGCTTACCTACCTGGTCTGGCTATGGTGGGAATCATATCCTGTTCGTCCTTGAACGCCATGATAGAAGCGTATCTGCGCGAGCGCTCATCAGCGGCGTCTGTGTGTTTTTGCACTGCCATTCCAGATAGGCTTCGTGCGGTGTTGAAGAGCTTGACGTGGACAAGTCTCGCCCGTCTAACATGGTATTGGGCTGGGCCGAGCCTCGTGGAGTGGACGTAGGAACTCTGTATATTCCACATCCTTGCCGCAGAGAGCGGTTCTTCTCCGTTGTTTCGAGCATTTAGATGTCATGGACTGTTGGATGTGTTCTACCAGATATAGCATAGTCATGTACAGCTGAGCCGCAACCTTGGGCAAGGCTGAAGCAGTTCGCACAGGTGGAGTTGATGACGTTGGTCATTGATTGGCTGAGCCGAAGTTGAGCCTCTGCAAGTCCTCGAGGCTGCCGAGTTGTTGCGGCTTGAGTTCATTAGGCTGGAACTTTAGTAGCGGCGTTGGCGTGGCGGGCAAGGCGGGCTAGGCCGTCGTGGCCTTCGCACTGGTGGCACCTAACAAATGAGTTGCATCACCAACTTGAGGCTGAAAACTCCCTTCGATCCTCACCCAACACTCTCAACCAGTACGTTATAATGCCTCTCCATCTTGACCCTTTGCACCAAATGTTTACCCTGCGAACACGAGAATACCCTACAAATCCCAGACTAGCCCCGCCGAATCAAACATGATCAACCCCAACATCTCAGCATGGTTGACTTGGAAACTTCACCTGCGGAGGTAGAGGTATGAAGAAAATCCCTCGTCCCTTCTTGCCTGGCAATTATCTGATCTCTTGCTAGGCCCTTCGAGTCCAATATTGTCCTCCGCTGGACGATGCCCTTTTCTACGCCATCGCGTCTGATTACCAACTTCCCCAGGATAGGGCAGCCTTGACGGCGGACCTTGATAGCCTCAGGGCTGGTGCAATAGAACAGGAGGACGCAGAATTCGATCCCTCGGGTACAGGAGCTCCCGCACACCTCATAGATGCCACCGACACTTCTAGGTCGTGCCCCGAAGACAACTTCTCCAACGGTGTCACGAGCATAACCACTGGTATCTCCGACTTGCGGTGGAATGACTCAGACAGCCCGGGAAATGATCAGGATAACACCTTGTCGACGGAGAAGAAGATAGGTCGGCTGCGGCACGTATTTCCAAACATACCCAAGCGTGAGCTGTCCAGTGTCCTGGAGAGCCACGCAGGATGCCTTGACAAGGCCGTCGATGAGCTTCTCAACCTCTCCTTCCTTAACCAGGGACTGGAGGAAGAACCAGAAGATGTGCCTGTTTTGAAAGGGGTAGATGGATTTGCTGAAGATGCTCTCCTGCAGAGAAAAGGAAGGAAGAAACGGAAATACCGCACAACCGAGTCTTCGCGGGCGAATTCAGGCTCCTCCTCGCCTTATGAGTTAGAGTCCACTCCTACCAATGTCTGGGCTACTATGTCTAAAGATGTCGACTTCATTTGTTCTAGGACCAAACTCCAACCCCAACTAGTGCGGTCTATATATCATGCCAACGATGCGCGGCTGGCGTCTACCATTCGCGCGCTAGCAATAAGAGAAGGGGAGGCATATAGTAAGTTGGCAGAAGTCGACCCCATCCTTGATCTTCAGATTGCGGAATTCCAGAGCCAGTTTGAGCATGTGCCCAAGTCACAATTGTGCGGTCTGCTGAGCCTAGCCCGAAATATACCCTCTGCGGCTCAGGAGTTGTTGGAAGCCATGTCAGTGGCTGAGACTGTGCCAACCACCGGGAAGCTGCAGGCTGCCGCTCAGTATGCCCCTCTGAATCTTGGGGAAGACGAAGCCCCCAGAACCGCCTCGACCGCACCGGAGGATCTGACTATAGACCCTTATCGAGCATCTGCAGCTAGTTTCCGGATAGCTGCAGGTCAAAGTTTTGATCAAGCTGCCGCAGCATACAGACGAAGCAAATCCGATCGTCTCTACGGAGGGGTTGCAGCGCACTACTCTGAGATTGGCCGAGAACGCGTCAGAGCTGCAAAGGAAGCCAAAGCTGCGGAAGCAGACTTGCTCGTGGCTAGACAGTCTTCCTCAAACGTCCTCGATCTTCATGGCGTGACGGTACAAGATGCAGTTCGAATCGCCCGAGCAAAAACACAGAGCTGGTGGCATGGTTTGGGTGACGCCAAATATGCTTCTGGAGGTGGCGGACCTGTTAGAGTCGGCTTCAGAATAGTGACCGGGCTGGGAACTCATAGCAAGAATCATGCTCCGCGGATAGGACCAGCGGTAAGCAAAATGCTCCTGAAGGAGGGATGGAAGGTGGAAATTGGCCATGGTGAGTTGACAGTGACGGGTAAGAGGCGTGCATGAATGACATTGTAGCTCGAAGCAAATGCTCTTTTGAAGATCTAGAGGACATGGACATGGATAGAATTGAGTGCTAAACTGAGTGCCAGACTCTGTTACTGCTTTGTCACGGTAATTCCAAATACCTTGTGCCTAGTTGCTACTGGGGGCCGAGGCTGCGTATCTCAGCCTCGCCGCTACTGAATGATTCCACGATCAAAGTCCCACATTATTGCCCGTCCAGCCAATCATGATGACTAAGGTATTCCATTGCATCATCAACCCTTGCGGTTGGAGGCGCAGAACTCGCAAATACGCCTTTCGTCGGTCTCGTTCCTTGCCTCTCGCTCCATTGCCGGGTCCCGACGACGTCTATATATCATCCCATCGTCCCAGGCATCCCTCTCTTGATGCGCTTCTCATCATTTCCTAGGATCGTTCGCAGGCTCTATACATTCGGCAACGCAACCACATTTCGATTCCAGCAACCGCTGCGGGGTAATCGCATCTCACAAACCCGTCGCGCCGCTGTTCCAAAATCTATGTCCTCGATCCCGTTCCTGAGCGCTTTATTCGGAACCTCAACCCCAGCATCGGCCAAGATGACCTACCCTGATGCGCGATCGAATGATGAGTGGAGGACGGTACTCAACAAAGGTACTTCCGGACCATATATCCCATAGCAACTGGTCATGAGATCGCGACTCTGATGGGCAGCCACACACACATTGAACTACCACTGACATCTATCGCAGAACAATTCCGCATCCTCCGCGAAAAGGGCACCGAAGCTCCCTTCACGGGCGAATACGATAAGCACATGCCCGATCATGGCGTCTACACCTGCGCCGCCTGCAACGCCCCTCTTTACAAGGCCAACCACAAGTTCAAGTCCGGGTGCGGCTGGCCCGCGTACTTTGACAGCATCCCCGGCGCCGTGACTCGGCACACGGACAACAGCTTTGGCATGGAGAGGACCGAGATTGTCTGCTCGAACTGCGGTGGGCACCTGGGGCATGTCTTCAAGGGCGAAGGATATCCGACGCCCACGGACGAGAGACATTGTGTGAATAGTATCAGTTTGAAGTTTCACGACAAGGAGGACGAAGTGGCTGGGAAGCAAGGGAACGGGGAGGCAAAGTAAAAGAAAGACATGTTATGTTGTAAATAAAAATGAAAAAGAATACTATGGTTTAACAGCTCTTTTCAGCGCAAGTGAAGGGTGCGGACATATTCTCGCGATCTAAAATGACTTGTAGATGCGGACACCTCGCAAAGAATCAGAACAACATCCTGGTGATCTTCATCAAGCAAGACGCCCATTGAATCCTTCCCGAAGTACTGCTGATTCTGTGGCGTTGCCAATGCCGCAGAGTTGCCTTGGCAAGATCCAACCAAGCATTGGATGTCGCAACCAAAAGCATTCCTCAATGACCTACCAGCCTACTACTCCGATCTTCTCTATCTGAGACTTCTACGGCAGGGCTAGAGTAGATCTGGACATCGAGTTCAGGACGTCTCGCGACTCTGGAGCTCAGGCCTGTACCACAACATTACGTTCCTTTCTGCGCTAATTTTCTTGAGAGCACATTAATGAACGGCCGGCAGACCCGCGATATGGACGACATGGATGAGATTCATGTTAAACGAGACGAGAACTCGTATCATTCCCCTGTACTCCCAGGATTGATAACACAGAACACTCAAAGTCCTGCAATCCCACGCGTCAACGTCCAACGTGTCAGCTTCACGGCGATATGGCATGTGTGTGCAGGATCCTCCTTGAATGCTTTACCAGTGGTCCCGAAGTCCAATACAAGGCATACTGCACAGACCATCCAAGCTCTATCAAGACCACTCTGGCTATCTGCGCCCCACAGTTGCAATGGGACTGCGATCTCCGAAACCCATATCGAGCCAACCTAATCGAGCTGTGGTTCAAGACTCACTGATAACCGGTCCTGCATTCCTGGATCACTGTTGTAGAGACAACCAATCCCAAGCTCAAAATTCCAACGGCATTTGACAAGTCCAAGGGAAAAGGCCTGTTTCTAAAGCCTTCACCAATCACACCTCCGTCACGAATCAAGGTGGACATCAAGATGTGCGGCAAGCTGCGAGGGCTCCCCACGAAATAGATGGGGAGGTGGAACCACGGCTATTCGGACATCCCCCGAGAGACATATAATGGGCGATCATACTAAAGGCTGGCTCGTCAGGCCGTTTTTCATGCCGAATCGCCACCGTCTCCAACACATCTCCCGTGTCTGGAGGGCACACGACCAGTCTATCAGTGGAAATTTATCTTCGACAAGTCGACATCCTACCCGTCCCAGCGCATAGCCGATGTCATTCGGCTCGCGGCAAACATGATTGAGGACTTGAAGCCATCTCAAATGTCGACTTCCAAGAGCACTGATTTCCCATTGACGCAGGTTGGGAGCTTGTCTGGCGAGGTTGAGGAATTGCCAGGATCCGGTGTGAAGAAGAGTACGAGGAGACTCTATTGCCCCCAGAGATAGACTTCAGCTCATCTTGAATAGGCTTGTTGTGGAAGCTCGACTTGATCATCTTGCCTGTGCTTGCTATGATCTACTTCACCAACAGTCTCGACCGAGCTAATCTGGGAAACGCAAAGACCGATGGCATCGAAAAGGACCTTCACTTTGGGGCGAATCAGTACTCATTGGTCTTAACGTTGTTCTACATTCCTTATGGTCTCCTGAATATCCCTACCACGATTCTGGCGAAGCGCTTCAGCCCGGCCAACGTTATCCCGATCCTCATGTTTGGTTGGGGTGCTGTGTCTCTTGGAGCTGCCGCAGCTAAGAACTTTGGTGGTATTGCCACAACAAGAATTCTGCTGGGAGTCGCGGAGGCTGGATTTGTACGTCTGTCCAGTCCTGTTTGCTCTGGTTGGCTGCTCGATTGGGATGCTAATGGCAATGTCAGTTCCCGTCAGCCATTTACTATCTGTCGATGTTCTATACTCGGCATGAAAGTAAGGCATCGACTCGCCTCCCCTGACATTCAATACTGACCAGCCTCAGTTGCGAAAAGAATTTCGTTGTTTTACATGATGGGCTTTGTGGCAAATGCTTTTTCCGGATTGATTGCCTATAGGTGTGTCTCCACCAAGCTGGGTGGAAAGATATGATGCTGACACCAATTGTTACCAGTGTCTTTCAATGGCATAAAAAGCTTCACGTAAGAGATGCCTCCCAATCCTCGGGTCGACCGTTAACATTGATGCAGAATTGGCAATATCTTTTCATCATCGAGGGGAGCCTCACGGTTTTTCTCTCCCTCGTAGCATTCACAATCCTGCCTCGAAGTTTGACTGCCTCGAGGTATTTTAGCCAGGAAGAGAAGGACTATGGCAGACTGCGGCTGCAGAGGGAGTTTGAGATTGAGCCAATCAAGTTTTCGTGGTCCGCAGCGCTGAAACCACTGTTGAACTGGCACACGTGGATGTTTGGGGCCATGTCGCTGTGCTACGGAGTTGCGGCAGCCACTCTGTCCAATTTCTTGCCTGTGAGTTGCACACAAATCTTTGTAGAGGTCTCCATCAGCTAACTGTGGTATCGGTAGACCCTGATCAAGCGATTGAAGCCAGACACAGTCCAAGCCAATCTCTTCACGATCGCGCCCAACCTCAATGGAGCGGTGTGGATCGTGGTCGTCTGCTGGATTTCTGACCGGTTTCAAGCTCGGGGAATCTGGTCAGTCCTTACCATGGGGACATCTATGATCGGCTTCATCTGCCTGGGGTCGGTCGATCTTGTCCACAAGACCGGAGTGGGATACTTTTTCACGTTCCTGTTGACATTTGGTGTGAGTTGGTCGCTTTGTTCTCTCTCTCTTTTTCAGGGAGATATCTCCACTTTGTCGGCATCCGCTCACCTGCTCCCCCAGACATTTACGCCGGCCGTTTTGGTTCCGGCCTGGGCGACCAGCAACATAACTTCCAATTCAGCGCGTGCCACCACTCTTGGCCTGCTCGTGGGGCTCCAGAACATTGCAGGGATCATCTCGTCGTATGCTTTTCGAAGCCAGGATGCACCGGTAAGCAAGCCTCTGTTCCCCAGTGATTTAGAAGAAGAGGCCCGAAGCTGATCTACCATTGGGTGCTATATTTGTAGGTATACCGGCCCGCACTGATCGTGTCGGGCTGTTTTCAGGGCGGCATGCTCCTGACCGCGTCGTTTGCCTGGTTTTACTACCGACGCGTCAACCGGCAGCTGGACAGTGGGAAGAGGACGTCGGTTCGGGGCATGGAGCAGAATCCCGACTTTCGATACGTGCTCTAGGGCTAAACTTGTGGCTATACACTATACATCTCTTGGAGTGCTACGTAGACGATATGATAACGAATGAATGATCTTTTCGGACCGGGAGTGTCATGTTTTGTTTGGTACCTAGAATCTAGTATCTAGTACCTAGGACCTAGGACCTAGGACCTCAATTCTAGCCCATCCTTGTCAAGTTCTGCTCACGAAATAGGGGCTACGTTCGCTATACTCCCGACTGTCTTGCTCGGTCGTCGACTCTAATTTTGAGTGTACATATGCCACTTTTGCCCCCCCCCCCTCCCCTTTCTTCGCGTTGCATTGCATCGCTTGCTCGACCTCGCTTTTCACATCACAGATGCACCAACTACAGCCCTCCAGCCCTTCCAGCCTGTGTGCCTGTATCGGGCCGCTGCACGTGTTGTGGGAAGAAAAGATCCACCCCAGAAGCAAAAGCAAACAGACAAGGTCGAGGTGTCTGTCTGTCTGTCTAGTGGTCAATCTTGAGGGAAAAGTCGACGTGCGGACACCCTTGGTGCACGGCAGATGTGGATATCACGTCAATATCTGTTTTGGGGGAGGTCATGTTAGAGTACAAGCTTCTTTGTGGGCCGTTGATTGCTGGAGAAAGGGGATGGAATTGATTGAGGACAGATGGACAGATAGGTAGATGGGTTTGATGGACAGATAGGTAGATGGGTTTGATGGACAGATCGAGTGCGGACTTTACCATTGTTGACATATTCGCTCACATTCGCCGGCGTGAGCCCGCCGCTACACTCGAGCAGAAACGACTTCTTGCCCGCCCACCTCTCCCTCAGGTTCCTGGCCGCGACGCGCAGCCCCGGCCCGTCGTAGTTGTCGAGCATGATGACGTCGGCGCCGGCGGCGATGGCCTCGTCGGCCCCGGCCTCGCTGTCGACCTCGACCTCGACTTTCAGGGCGAAGCCGCCGACGGCGCGGGCGGAGCGCACCGCGTCGGTGATGCTGCCGCGGGCCCAGATGTGGTTGTCCTTGAGCATGATCATGCTGCTCAGGTCCATGCGGTGCTGGTCGACCCCGCCGACCAGCATGCCGTACTTCTCCACCAGCCGGAACCCGGGCGTCGTCTTGCGCGTCCCCGCCACCATCCCCGTGTAGCCCGCGGCCCGCACGAGAGTGAGTAGCTGCCGACTCGCCGTGGCGACGCCGGAGCAGCGCGACAGGGTGTTCAAGGCCACCCGCTCGCCCAGGAGGAGTTTCCTCGTCGGCCCCGTGACCGTCGCGGCTTTGACCTTGCCGCCACCCGCGGCAATGGCGCTAGAGTCGACAAAGTCGCCGTCCTTGACGGACCATTCGACCGTGCAGCCGCATTGCGCGAAGATTTCGTCCACGAACGGCAACCCCGCAACCACCCCAGGGGCTTTTTGGTACAGCGTCGCGGTGCGGATGTCCTCGCCGACGACGAAGCCGCCGTAGTCGAACGAAGGGGTGTCTTCGGCGAGCCAGGCGCGCACTCTGTCTGGGAGGCTGGTTGGGAGGAGGTGCGCCGTGGTTCCGTGGTCAAGAGCCATGCTGATGATGTCGAGGAGAAGATGCTATAGAGCGAAGAAGCGTGGTCTATATCCGTGTCCAAGACTGGCATGGCCGTGGCCGTGACAACATCCCCCCCCCTACGGCCATCGATCTTGGAGTCAACATGATATAGACCAAGAGTTTTGTATGAATTTGATATTTATCCCCACTGTTCACTTCTCTGGTTGAGTTCAGACACCCGCCACTAGCCTCTTGGACGCATTTTTCGTAGTTTGTTCCCGATATAGGGCTGCCCCCACT